GTCACTATGAAAGCACTCCTTTCCAATTCTAATTAGAATCTGGTAGTCATGACCATGACATTGATAAAAACTTACTAGATTCGAGTGCCATTCCTGCGAATCTCACATCAGAACAGTGAATTCAGGTTAATTACAATCCTTATTGATAAGTGCTTCATAAAATGTCGAAAACTACCTTGGGTAGTAAAAACACTTACGCCCTGAAAAGGAATGAATAATGGTAGGTTTTATAGCTAGTGGTAAAACAATACATTCATTTTATATATCCATATCATATACCATATTATATACCTTCATTTTCTATTACTGTAATGGGTATTGACATGATAATATACGTTGGATTTGATAAGATAAAAATCAATATTTCTATAGCCACTATAAATGCATGAACTCGAATTTGGGACAATATGCTCACATTTTCAATGCAAACAAGATCACTTTCGATAATTGGTGTAGTAGGTACGGTATAATGAGCCATAAAAATAAAAGCAAACATATTCGATATTGTGCAAGTCATTTGGATGTTATTCTGTGTAATAGGTCGGTATATCAACTTGCTAAGATCAGAGAGAATAAACTAGCCTTGAGACGATGCATCAAGGCTGTACAAATATTTTCATGTCATAATCTTAGATATTTTTTGGTTTAATGAACTTCAAATGCATTTTTGAGTTCTAGTTGACTGACCTATTCAAAAACCCATTATCCATATTCTTTATCGGCAAACCGACAGAGGTTACTAATTCTTTATCAAGGAACTAATGAAATTTTTCCAGGCCAAGCTGTATGTAACTTTCCGTGAAAATAATAGCCATTTCAATGCGAGTATATGTTCTACTATTACTTCAGTATTATACTTGGGGTTTTTGGAAAAACGATTTTTCAGATCTAAAATATCATACATGATGTATTCTAGAGTTAGTAATGGAAAAAGGCTAGGGGGCTAATTATTTTTCATTTCTTAAATGGAATCATCACTGGAATACCTTTCAATTCCATATTTTTTAGTATTTTTTTTATCGCTTGGAGCGCACGAAAGGGAATCCCTATAATGTTCAAAGAACATCGTGCGTTCCTAGGGAGGATAGGGACAGGAGGTAGGTATTGGAATTTTTTCTGAACTTTTGGAGATTATAATATGTTGTTGGGAATACTTCCACAGGCAATGAATTCCAGAGCCTAGCCGTTCTATTTTTAGGTGCTAAAATCATAATGCCACGGTGATAATTCATAAAATTCTCAATTGAGTATTGGTAATACTCCTAATTAGCAATGAAAATTCAATTTTCTCAAAATGTTCCCTTATGATTTGTGGCTAATTGCTAATAATATATTCATGTAAATAATAATAATTATATTAATTCACACTAGAGGACATTTGAATCGGTGAACGTGACAACCACGCCGCACGACTTGTGGGCGTGGTCTTGTCAGTTCTCAGCATTCAGCACAATGTTGCCAAGTCTCCAACATTCATATGATATGTTGTTATGGCGAATAAGAAATATCTGGGCATGCTGGTTGCTCGGAAAAAGTCGAGAATGGGTTCCTCCTATTATGTTTTATTCAACGACAGGACTCTAACATCTTTTTGAATAATTGATTATAATTGGTGACTTGACAACCTTGCTTTATGAGTGGAGAGTGGAGATTTTCTGACCTATAAATAAGTTCTGAAATTCAACAATTTCGAACAACGCATAGACTCATTATTTATATAAAATAAGCGTGAAAGCTGTTGCTAAAATTAAGTTAGGTTCCTAACGACACAGTGCCAATGCCAATAATTCATTATCAACTACGAAATAGCCACAATGCTCAAAGTGGAATGAAATGTTAAATAAATACGAAAAACTCAAAGTCATTTCCACACAAAGTTCATAAAATGAACAACAGTGGTAGATTTCGGAAGAAAAACAAACAAATTTTTTGTTTTGCTATATCCAATATGGCGGACGAACAAATCATGCATCAGCTTCATTAGGTCTTTTGTTTTATTTTTATGTAATATTTTATCATCGAGTTATCGTTTTAAAAACCGAACAATTTCATAAGTATAGCGATAATTAACAGCATGCGATATATATAGAATATGAATAAATATATATATATATAGAAAATAAATAACAATTTACAAGTACATACTTATATCTGATCATGCATTATCATTATTTGCACATGCGTGACCTTTGTTTATTTGGTTTTGATGTTATAAGTTGCTAATTAAATCATTACATGCACGATATCTGTGTTGAGCTGAAAGGAGAATTCTGATAATTTCAATATCACGGATGTTCGAGAAAATTATACCCATGCCCAAGCGCACTGCATCACATATACAAGGTGTCCCGACAAGAAACCGACAAACTTTAATATCAACATATGTCCGCTGAAGAGCATATAGTTATTTATTATACAAGGGAAAAAAGTATTAGACTTTAGCTCGAGGTTGTGTTGTCAAAAACTCTGAGCTAAAACCTAATATTTTTCCTGTGAATAATACACATTTTTTTCTATGACTATTCAATATTGGAAAGATATTACATTATCACAAAATCAGAAAAGTATCTAGTTTTTAACAGTTGTACTACCTGTATTGCAGGCATCTTTTTGTACGCATTCTATACCTTCTCAACTTCAATTTCAGAATCGTTAAGTTATATTTCGGAAAAGGTAAACTCGATTTCAGAAATTGTTATAACTCAATTTCAGAATCAATGAGTCGAATTTCAGAAAAAGTCCATTCAATTTCAGAAATGGTAAGTTGTACTTCAGAATTCGTAAGTTCAGTTTCAGAAAGAAAAGTTCAATTTGAAATGAATAATCCTGATTAGACATTCATTATCATGAATTGAATAAGTCACTATAAATCTTATTATTCATAGGATGATGATCGTGCGTTTAAAATGGGCATCCTACAGATACCATAATAGTGGTAGTTCTGGATAATGCACCTGCTCATCCAAGAATATATAGAGGAGATATGCATGGAGAAAGCATTTCAAGATGTTCTTATTTGCAGATTGTCACCTCACAGCCCTCAATGTTGAACCCAATAATTGAACATATTATGGAATACCTTGCAATATAAGCTTCTTGCATGAGCATCACAAAAGGGTCAAAGCATTTCAAGATGTTCTTATTTGCAGATTGTCACCTCACAGCCCTCAATGTTGAACCCAATAATTGAACATATTATGGAATACCTTGCAATATAAGCTTCTTGCAAGAGCATCACAAAAGGGTCATATCCGGGGATCCAAACAGATTGCTTAACCAAATATAATTCAGACTGTGATGTCTTGAAAAATGTGCAGATGATTCGATGAGAACATACACCTCAACAGTGTTTGAATTCTTTTAAATCATGTGCGATTCGAATGGAAGACATGTCCGTATGGATTAAACAAAGATTGAGTTTAGTATATGTTATTTTGGTTTCTAAAATTCAATTATTCTGAAGATAGTTTGTTCTATCCACATGCAATTGAAAATATGTCAAACAAATATAAGGATTTGAGTTCGAAAAAAATGATAAACTTTGAAAGGCTCAATCTCGGAAACTAATGAGTCTACAGAGACAGTTTTTATATCATATTGTAGCAAATTTGGTCTACTTTAAAAACGTTCTGAAAGAGTTTTTTTCAAATACTAGTCCTTCAGGGTTATAATCGCCAAAAACTGAAAAAAAAAACGATTTTTTCGCAGTTCTTTCGATTTTTGACAAAGTTGCGTTCGGCGCTCAAGGTCACAAACTTGGAGTATTCATTAGGTCAACATCATGAACAAGTCTGCGAAAATCAGAACTACCGGATTTGACGCATACTGTGTGTAGTTAGTGGATTAAATTGAAAACATTTCAAACATATTATAAGGATTCATCTTCTGAATTTGAACCTACCAATTCTGAAATACAACTTACCATTTCTGAAATTGAATGGACGTTTTCTGAAATTCATCTCACCGATTCTGAAATTGAGTTTACCATTTCTGAAATCTAACCAACCAATTCTAAAATCGAGTTACCTTCTCGGAAATATAACTTACCGATTCCGAAATTGAAGTTGAGAAGGTACAGTCATAAAATATAATGGTTATGAGTTCTGTGGTTCTTTGTCTAAGTTATATACAGGGACTCTATACCTTTTCAACTTCAATTTCGGAATCGGTGAGTTATATTTCGGAAAAAGTAATCTCGATTTCAGAATTGGTTAGTTCGATTACAGAAATGGTAAACTCAATTTCAGAATCGGTGAGATGAATTTCAGAAAAAGTCCATTCAATTTCAGAAATGGTAAGTTGTATTCCAGAATTATTATTGGTAGGTTCAATTTCAGAAGATGAGATCCTTTTATATGTTTGAAATGTTTTTAATTGCAAGAGAGAAGATTGTTTACAGTGGATGAACGGTGTTTGAGAGCCCTATGTTGAATCAGATTGAACATAATATGGGGTGCCTTCAAGTCAGAAGTGAAGAGCTTCTTGCAAGAGCATCGCCAAAGGGTCATAGCTGGGGATCCGAACAGCTTGCTCAACCAGATAGAATTCAGACTGCAATGTCTTGAGGAATGTGCAGATCATTCAATGAAAATGATAACACCTCAAATGTGTTTGCATTCTCATAATCATGTGCAACGCTATTATCTTCCAGCGATGCGGATGGAAGGCATCTGTGGATTAAATTGAGATTATAATTATGTTATTGAATTGTTTTTGTCAAGTTGAATATTGTAAATATGGTTTGTTAATCTCACATACAATTGGAAACATTTCGAACAAATATAAGATTTTTGTTTCTGAAATTGAACCTACCAATTCTGAAATACAACTCACCATTTCTGAAATTGAATGGACTTTTTCTGAAATTCATCTCACCGATTCTGAAATTGAGTTTACCATTTCTGAAATCGAACTAACCAATTCTGAAATCGAGATTACTTTTTCCGAAATTGAAGTTGAAAAGGTATAGTTCTAAGCAGCTGAAAATCTCCCTGTTCCAGGTGGAATCGGTGACGACGGCCTACGGCAACCAGATCTCCGAGCGGGCGGCCACTCTGACGGTGGGGCCTCGCGGACCCGTCCTCCTCCAGGACCAGAACCTCATCGATGAGCTGGTGCACTTCGAACGCGAGCGCATCCCCGAAAGGGTGGTGCACGCCAAGGGGGCCGGGGCGTTCGGCTATCTCGAAATCACCGACGACATCACCAGGTAATAATAATAATAATAATAAGCAGCAATCGAGCAGCCGATGAATTGTCTCTGATTTTCGACTCCGAGCGCAAGGCTCAGGACTCAGTTACTGAGCTAGAACCCGCTCGGAGAAAAGCCCGCATCAAAGCTGCAGAAGTGAAAAAGCTCCTGCAGCTTCACATGGATAAGCCCATGCATTCGGTCTACTTCAAGACCATTGAAGACCGGGGCTTATCCAAAGAACTGACTTTTGCTTTTCTGAAGTCAGGCGGGCTCAAACCGGAAACAGAGGGGTTCATCATGGCATGCCAGGATGGGGTTTTTAACACTCTCGTCTACCGTAGCCGTGTCATGGGTATGGAGGTCCCTGACACAAGTTGCAGGGCCTGCCGCAGGGCGCCCGAGACAATTATGCACCTGCTGTCTTCTTGCACGGTATATGCAGTCTCGGCCTATATCTATAGACACAATGCGGCATTGCGAGTGCTCAACTACTATTTGAGGCACTCGTACGGAATAGACGAGACCCCAGTGCTGCCCTATGCTCCGGGGGATATTGAGTCCGTTGTGGAGAATGAGAGGTGCCGAATTTATTGGAACTTCTCATTCCCCACCCTCAGGCAAATTCAAGCTAACAAGCCTGATGTAGTCCTCCTCGACCATCAAATCAAAGCGATGTTCGTGATCGAGTTTTCGGCGCCAGCCGAACCGAACATCGTTTTGAAGGAGGAGGAGCAACGGGCTAAATATCAAGACCTTCTCTTCGAACTCCGCAGGCTCTATCCAGAACATTCTGTAGAATTGGTCATCCTGATAATCGGCTCCCTAGGAGGCACACGACAAACGCTGCTCTCGGAAATCCAGAAAATCCCAGCGTGCAGCGATAAGGCACACATCCTGGCTGGTGGAATGCAGAAGGCCGTAATACTTGGATCATTGCGTTTACTCAGGGCACACGGTTCTTGGTCCCAGTGATTATTTACCCCACAGGCTGTGGGGAGTAGTCACTGGATTTTATCCAGCACGACTCTGCGTGGTGTCGGAGGCCGCAGAGTCGTGACTGGAATAATATGAATTTAAATAATAATAATGGTGAAACTGCACTTATCATGCGATGGTTTTTTTTTCGAAAATGTTTTTGGTACTTACGTATTTTCGACTGAACAAACCGATTTCTCGAGATATTTTATGAAAAAGTGCGAAATTTCACCTTGTTTTGCAACCCATCTAGTATATTCATTTACAGCTACTTGTCCTTCTTTTTCCATCACTGGACACTTTATATACTCACGTTGTACTTCGATAACACATTTTATTTCCTAAAATCAACAAGAAGTATGGTTTATTTGGAAATTTTCCATATTTAGTGAGGTGACATGCGTGTTTTATATTAAATTTTGTGGTCGAACGACTTTGACTTTGTTTCTTTTTCTCCTTTCGCTTTATATATAAATAGTTCGTGCAAAAAACTGTTTCAAAACTAAGTGCTTGTTCCTATTTTATTCTCTCTCTCAATCATTTCAACTCCTTTCAATTCCTCCAGGTACTCCGCTGCCAAAGTTTTCTCTTCGGTCGGCAAGAAAACGCCCCTCGGGGTGAGATTCTCCACCGTGGGAGGTGAATCGGGGTCAGCCGATACGGCCAGAGACCCCCGCGGTTTCGCAGTGAAAATCTACACCGAGGACGGCATCTGGGACATAACGGGCAACAACACGCCTATCTTCTTCATCCGGGACCCCATCCTGTTCCCCAGTTTCATCCACACGCAGAAGAGGAATCCTCAGACGCATCTGAAGGACCCCGACGCGTTCTGGGACTTCATGTCTCTGCGGCCCGAGACTATGCACCAGCTGTTGTTCCTGTTCTCTGACAGAGGTGAGTGTTTCATAGGGATGCGAAAGTTTCCTACATTCAGATTTTTATGTTTGTGAAGTTGGTATTGGTATTGGTATTAGTATTGGTAGATTGGATGGTGACAGATGTGCTGCGACCTAATTAGATCTATTGTGCCCCATCTGTTTCTGCTATATCAAGGATTTCTTCTTCATAGCAGCCCCTCAAGATTCAATTCCTTCAGGAATTTGAGGATTTTGAGGGGATCTAGCTGTGATATTTCTTCCACAGTCAGCTGGTGTGTTCCCAGTATGTTCAATCTTTTGTGATGTACAGCGTCACACTCCATCAGTATGTGATGGGGTGTTTCTGGTTCTTCCTCACAGAATCTGCAGGTGCCGTCCTCCTGTAAGCCTAGCTCCTTAGGTGTTCTTTGAGCCTGCAATGCCTCGTTAGAAATCCCGTTATTGCTTTGAGACTTCCTCTGCTGAGGTTTATCAGTGTCTTAGATCTTTCTCGGTTGAAATTTCCGAGGAGATCTTTAGCATGCCGCAGTCCTTCCACCTTTTCAAGTTCTTCTTGGAAATAGGAATTTCCAAGGCCGCAGAATGGCTCTGGTGCGATCAGTGGCGTTGGGGCCCCTTGTCGTGCCAGAGTGTCTGCTTGTTCATTCCCCTCCACTCTAATATGCCCTCGTACCCAGAGGAGGATGACTTTATAGTTACTGCCTAGCTCATTCAATTTGCTTAGGCATTCCCAAACCATCTTTGATTCGAAGTATTTGGTGCGAGGCCCAAAAACTCCTGCTCCACTCCCCTCGGGTGTTTTAGACCCGTCCGTATACCAAGTAATGGTGTTCCTTCCCAGCGCTTCGATGGATTCTATGCTCCAATCGCGCTTGTTGCTTAGTTCCACTCGGAAGTTCTTCTCAAAAAACTGAACTTCCTAATGATTTGGTCTGTTGGGAGATCGGCGAGGTGTGCAATCTCAGTGGGGGGTAAGTGAAGTTTATAAAAATCCATTATCTACACTTGTCAAGTAATGATTATGATTTGACACTTTTTTGAATGTCATAATGCCGTTAATTACCGCACTAGTGCTTTTTTGAATCTATTATCGCACAGCAACTTGTGTTTTCAATTATCAGAATACTGTCATGGGTAGGTACGTCAAAGTGGAATATCAATGAGGTACATTTGAAGATAGTTATGAAAACGTTGACATTTATTGTCATATATTTGACTTGAAAGAATTCAAAGAATTAGTTAGGGCTCCTTCACCATTTTGCTGACGTCATTGGTGAACTGCCATGTTCACACACAGCTAAAACGCGATTTTGCTAGCGCGACTGTGACGTTGCCGTTTCCATTTATATATTGGGGTATCCAGAAATTCTGTATTGACCGCAATGAGACTTTATTGTAATATTGGCTAGGTACTAGGTTTCATAATGAAAAATACGAAAGAATTAACAAATACAAGTACACTCTTAACACTTTTCAATGCTTATGTAAGGTCTAAACTACAATATGTAGCGTTGATATGGAATCCTGTCTATAATTCACATATAAGTCACATTGAATCAGTTCGAAAAAAAATCTTGAAGCATTTGGCTTTCCAAATTACAAGAGTATATCCCCAAAGATGATATTTTTGGTAATCCTAATTTCCTGATTAGCCAAGAAATGTGAACCAAATTATTCATGAAATTTTTAAGTAATTCAGATTCCTGATAGTACATATTATGTATATTATGTATGTCGTCATTTCATATATTGTTACGTTATTAAATTTGTGGAATGGAGTGAACACTGACACTATTTTTTAATTTCAATAACATCCAAAATAGCTTCAACTCAAAGTTGAATCTCGAAATTAATGAAATGAAAGTAAAATTATATCTTGAAAGATTTCGGAGTAGACTATTTTCATTGTTTCCAAGACATTAGTAAATTAAATTAGGTACCGCGCCCACATTTTTACCTGAAACCAGCTTACAACGAAACCTTTACTGATAGCTGCGTTTTCATTGAGGTTATGTTCTCATTGTTATCTGTTTATTTATTTATTCATTGTGTAGTATGGACCTATTTTATGCGCTGTTATTCTTTTATTCCTTAATTCATTTGTTGATTGTGATTAATCTAGATAAAATCATTTAAATGTAGATAGTGGGTATTATAGTAGTAATCTAGTCCAAAAAAAGGAACAATTTGAAATATTTCATTGGACATTCTAGTTGGCAAAAATGTGAGGCTAATCAGTGAAAAACTATCTTGATGAAAAGAAAGAAACTTCACCATTATTTATTGTCGGTTGTACATTGATGAGGCGTAAATTTAACGAGCTAGATAATTGCATACTTAGTTGTATAAATAGAGTAGATTACGAGAATGACTCATTTATTTAAATAAATGCTGAGCGGAATGTTTATTTACAAATAATTTATTTTGCAGGGTGATTCAATTCGTAAGTTCTTCAACGAACCCCACTTGGGAGTATTTGAGTATATAAGTATATGAATATGGTTCCGAAAATATCTCGACATAAGGTGTGTTGAGTTTTTTTTAGTGTATCTAGTTTTTCGGTATTATTTCCAGGAGCGTAGGTTTTCATCAAATAAACTCTTTATGAATGCAACATTTCTGTTTAATTATCAAGACACAATAACACAAATAAGAAAAATTTGCCAAGCAATAAATTATTCATTTTTCCTATCCTGCTAAATGACACGTGTTCTAAACCAGTTTCGTGTAGCTATTCTGTCTATTCTGATTTAATTGTCATGCAATCGCTTCATTATGGATGATTATGGTGTATTAGATTGTCATTCACGGATTTAATTGAATAGGTTTTTCAATACCGAATTGCAATAGCAGTAACTGTCGTGTTATTTCTAGATGTTCCAAAGGCAGAATCTTTCAGGAGGCCTATATGGCATTTACGTAAAAAATTACTTACTTCATATTTGTGAGATTAACACTTTGCTGGTTAATGCTTTTTTTATTTTTTTATTGACGGCCATCAAAATCCATGGCAAATGTAAAAACTTCACAAACGATAAGATTTGCTCGTAGCTACAATACATATTTTCTGTTATTTTTCAATTTATCTGTGGTTACCTATGGCTACTATTATATACTGTCACCTATATTTTGATTCTGTCAGTACCTTTTGTATGTTTTTGTGGGTTATTTTTCAATTTATCTGTGGTTACCTATGGCTACTATTATATACTGTCACCTATATTTTGATTCTGTCAGTACCTTTTGTATGTTTTTGTGGTTTTGCCTATAATGAATTTTAGGCTAATCGGTCAAGCCGTTTAGTAGTTGACGTATATCGATAGCAACGCCACTTACCGCGTCCATGCTCCATTGTCAAACTCATGTTGAACCAACCATTACCTACAAAGCTTTGGATTTTATCAAATGTAATCATGTTTTTTATTAATAGGTAAAATAGCCTTTATTAGAACCGTACTACCTATGCATCAGATAAGATATTATCGAAAGCCTTCTCCTAAATCCTAACTTCAGTTCTATGATTTTCAGTTTCAAATCTACCTACTTATTTGCAAGCCCAAGAAAGAGGATTCCTGTCTATTCTTTACCCCGCAAATACTGCATTTCAGTCTATAAAAAATAAACGAAAACACAAAGACTAATGAATTGTACAACTATAAACACAAATATTCGAATTTCAGTCACAATCAGTCATATCCGCTCTAAAACCAATTTAAAAATTTGAAATTCTTAGCCATAGTGGTTTAACAAGTTTCTTATCATTTTTTCGTGATTTTTTCACTGTCGGCATCAACACCTATTGGTCGACCAATAGGCATTGATGCCGACGTAGGGAAAAAATAATACGACAATATGGCTTATAATTTCAAATTTTCCATCCTTCACTTTCCTTCCTTATAGATTCAAAAAGAACCTCTCTTTTTGATCCCATTTTTGTTGAGATATCGTATAGGCGATGCGCCATATATAGAAATAGTAGATATATGGGAAGACCTTTTTTCTCTCCCAAAGCTAGCTGAACTGCTCTATTCAATCTGACCTGAAATGAGGCATCTATAGAGACAGGACGCAAAGGGGCGTAAGGCGTAACAAATAATCCGTGTGCAAAAAAGTTTACAGAAAATTTCCGGCCGTGAGCGAATCCTGGAAATAGCAAAGCACTATCGGCCCCAACAATAAATGCCTTCACAGTATTATTCTCGATTAATCACTTTAAAACAAAAAGAGGAAGGATTATACCACCACAACGATTATTTGTTGAAAGATATTGTATAACATCCTTTTGCACGATGCCTCATTTCAGGTCAGATTGAGTTCGTGCTCGAAGAACATGGCTAAGGGGCGGCCAAGACGGCATACTTTTGAAATGAGCTCTGAAATTCAACAACTTTCGTACAACGCAAAGACACCAGTCGTTACCACCGATAAAACAAGGCCTGCATGCTTCGTGGGTGACGTCACTTAGTCAGGCCTAACCAGCGGCTCGAAACGACAAGCGCTTATAGAGCTATAAGGCGACCGCGTATTTCGATTTTAGTTTTAGATCATTATTGAGCCGATTTTGCTTTTTTTTTTTAAGGGCTCCCGGTTGAAAGAGGCTGCCAGCCGTCAACTGAGCCCTTCTTCACATCCCATTCGATTTTATTATGGAAAAACGAACTTTCAAAGCAAAAACCAGAATAAAACACAAATACCCACCTACAGCAACCCATTCGAATTAAATATATTGGCAAAAATTGTAGTGATTCAATCTCATTAGAGGTAAACTTCACACCTACTTATACAGGGCTCGCAGAACATAAATTTATCATGAGATTGATCGAAAGAAAATTGGGGAAAATGTATTTTAGTTTGATAGACATGCCGTTTGTTATACCTAATTACCTATATTTATCTTGGAGAATTCCTATTACCTAAAAAATTAGCCAGTGAGTGTTTTCAATTTCCTGTTGTTGGATTTTTTACCCAATTGGTCGTTAGACTTGAAACAGTAATTTTTAAGTAGAGTGTTTGTAGTACATGTTAATATATTAGTTGCAATTTGATCATTGGAATGAATTCTGCATTAATTGTCACGAGGCAAATGACCGTTTTCAGAAAGAAATTTGAGAATGTATTGAGTCAGAAACCAAAGAGTCCAATGCATTCGAAATATGTTTCAAAACCCTCTTTTTCTGATTATCAAGACATTTTCCCGAATTATGTATCTCGTTTTTATCTATTTCAATTAGTAATTCCTTGATTTGATTGATATTATTAGAGATAAAAGGTGTTTTCAGATTGGCTTTTAGAGATGTTTGTATCGCTAGGTCATGCAAAAATGATTCCACATTCAAAACAAAACCCATCACAACCGAATATGTAATTACGGGCCCTGGAGAATAAGACAATTTGAATAATGTGACTTTTTGCAAATCGATAATTTTGAACCACTTTTCGGGCAACTGAAAAGACTCTAATACAACTAGAAATTCTTGAAATTCTGTGTAGCAAAATGATTTTTGGTAATTTTCGAATTCAGTTTTACTTTTGGTAAGTGCTTGTGCCAAATTTTTAGTCTCTAGTATCTCAAGTTTTTCATCACGACTTGTGCGTAATTTTACATCTTTCGATAAATAAGATGGACAGTTGGGAAATTGAGTGGGAATAACATCTCGTTTGAGCCTAGGAATTTTCAAATCTATTGTTACAGTTTTGCCAGTTTTTGAATCGGTTGCAGTAGATGAAGTTATAATATCATCTTTAGTAAAATGTAATTCACATACTTTACTGTACTTAGATGGAGTCGTAAAATCCTTGCGGTGAATTGCATGTACCCACTTTTTCGATAGTTCCTTGTCCAACGGGAAACTAAAAGCATGAACTTTTGGACCACCCACATAATCCCCCGACAAAAGGAAACACAACACTTGTAAGGCATTGTTATTTCGCTTATCACAACTCGAAATATTTCACAAAACAGTAATTTCTCCGCCAATTATTTTGATGAATAAACAACAAGAGAATTCGAGCACACGCGATTTACCTACGCCACCGTTCTTAAACAAAAACAAACTGACGATCGATCGACGCGGATGCCTTGGAAGATGGCCTGAGTATGCGACGTCACGAGCTGTTTACGTCAGAGTCTGCTGGCCTTGTTTTATCGGTGGTAACGCACCAGTCCACTCGCCCAATAGAATTGAAACATTCATGATTTAAATCGTCACAACCCACAACCCTGTATCAAAAACGATATTTTTGGAAGTAGACATCAATATTCATTCGCTTTGATGAACTCCTCGTTCCCAGGAATCCCTGACGGTTACCGATGCATGAACGGCTACGGCTCCCACACCTTCAAGCTCGTCAACAAGGACGGCAAATCGCACTTCTGCAAATTCGTCTTCAAGACCAACCAGGGCATCAAGAACCTGAGCGCCCAGAAGGCGGAACAGCTGAGCGCTCTCGACCCCGACTATTCCATCAGGTATTTATAAACTATAAAATTTATAAAAGTAGAACAACTCACGAATTTCCTTACTACGAAAGAGTAGAAGGGTTATCGAAAATAAAAAAAATCTAATTATTGCAACTTGTAACGTGCAGTAATTCAATTACTGCAACTTACAACTTGCAATAATTCAAAATACTGCAACATACAACTTGCAGTAATTGAATTACTGCAACTTACAACTTGCAGTAATTCGAAATACTGCAACATGCAACTTGCAGTAATTTGAATTACTGCACCTTATAACTAGCAGTAATTCGAAATAATGCAACATACAACTAGCAGCAATTCGAATCACTGCAACTTACAACTCGCAGTAATTCTAACCCTCCTCTAACCAGTATTAGCACTTGGCCTTGGAAATCCTTGTCGGGTTTTGGCAGGTCAACACAGACACAGAACAGAAAATGAGGTGTCAGAAGTCGAAGAGAAGTAACCGTGCGTTTCACGCACAGTCTCTGCTCTCTGGGTCTCTGCCTCTGAGACGAGACATGCTCCAATGCAAAACGACGCCATAAAATCATCATCCTGATCCATTCTATTAGGTACCTATGTAATTGCCCCTGTAAAGGTATAAAAATATCAAAACAAGGTGGATGCAATCCAAGCTCTTGATGGTAAACTTCTATACGGTGTTAATAATGGAATCTAGCTGATATTTAAGTTCACAGAGTAGTTGTTCTATGAGTTAACCTCAGTTAATCTTCTTCTCAACCTGTTTTGTGCTTTAATTACTGCAAGTTGTAAGTTGCAGTGATTTGAATTACTGCTAGTTGTATGTTGCATTATTTCGAATTACTGCTAGTTATATGTTGCAGTGATTCAAATTACTGCAGGTTGTAAGTTGCAGTAATTCAATTACTGCAAGTTGTATGTTGCAGTATTTTGAATTATTGCGAGTTGTAAGTTGCAGTAATTGAATTGCTGCACGTTACAAGTTGCAATAATTCCTTTTATTCTTTTATTTTTGATGACCCTACTACGCTTTCGTACCTTACCAATTTGAATTCGGTTTTCAATTAGTCTAATCTCTTTACAGTTTGTTGTGGCAATATGAAACTTCTGTTATTTCAGATAACATTGTTACAGGGTGATAATTGAATGGGTGTAAAATTGCATCGTAGTCGTCACCTTACAGTTTGAACAGATCATTTTTTCAATTTTTTTTCTCACCTGTATCCTCTTGATTGATGCTTTCTCTCGAAACATTTTCGGAATTATCAAATTCAGAGCTTTGATAATCGTGTTATGAATATTCATTCAAAATGATGCATTTTTTCGACGGTTAATTGAATGAAATTGGAAGTTGGAATTCTTTTTCGAAGAATCAACGTTGTATGTATAGTCGTCGGATATGTGATTGTGTTCGAACACAGGAAATTCTGAAGTCTATACAAAGTGATACAAGAAATACTGAATGATGGAATGGAGAATAACGTAGTCTTCAATAGATGAAACATAATTTTCTCTGTGTCACTAGTGAAATAATGGAGTGTTACTTCGTCATGAGGATGTCTGGTGTCTGACCTCGAAATGGTTTCGTAATTTCTCGGATCGAAGGTCATAGACAAATTATGAAATTCAAAAAATTACTATTGTAGTTCCAGAAGTATGAAATTTATATTTATTTTTGACGATGGACTGGAAGTACCCACCTGATATTAGTTTAGATATTTGTTATTTTCATTTCATCATCAAAATACTCCGAGACTTACGAGCGGCAAAATATCGATTCTAATAATTAAAATCCAAGGTACCGACGTATAGACTTCCATTTCTGATTGTCGGATATTTTGTGCCCGAGTGTTGAAATCATAATGAGATAGGTAGCCTGGTTCGCGTGGCATGAAATTATGGTTGCGCAATAAACAAAACGAGGTGAACGAACATCAAAATGTTGTCAACAGTAAGTGTGACTACTGGATCTGTTAGTCTTCTACTGTGATTCAGGGCTCTCGCTAGTCTCGCTTCGCTCCTTTAGTCGTAAACGCAGATACAACGAGACTCTGATAGCGAATTCCATTGGCAGGAATTGTTGGAGTGTTTCCCACTAAGTGTATATTCACCTCTATTTAACACATGCGAGTAAGAAGGAAACATATACCTTTAGTGCAGAACCACTGCACCAGTTCCTGCCAATGGAATTTAGAATAAAGCGGATCTGTCTTGATTATGACTAAATTATCTCAAGAAAATGTTGTAAATATAAATGAATATGCAATTGTTTCAAAGCTAATGCAAGCTCACAGAAAATGGACTATAGTATGACGTCGATTTGAACGTTTCTGTTTGTCTTGTCAAGATACAATATAGTAAAACGACAGATGAGTGTAATACAAATTTTATCGCACTAGAGAAATAAAGAATCACTTTTTCAACTGAAAATAGTTCAATATAGGTTTTGTTTTTTGCATGAACGTAGAAAAATAATATTATTATCACGAAACCTTATATCCCTCGGCTAACACCTCGGAATCTTGGTCCGTGGATAATAATGATATTATTTATCTTTACTACATTGGTGTATACACAGCATAAGAATTAAGCAGCAGCGTCACTTGTATCCACGGTATAATGTATATGCGTTCGAGGAAGTGTATTTCTGCTGACCTTGAACCACTGCTTTGCTCTTTTAACGGTGACTAGCGCGTAGCTCGTTCAACTTGAATGGCACTGCATCCCCAGAACACGGTATTTCTACGGAGTGATGCTGCTGTTTAATCCAAATGCTGTGATGTAACATAATACTTATTGTTATTATCATATTATATATAAGTTCAATAAACATAATCACATAATGTCATCACATCTTACATGGTGTCAGAAGACAGAAGATTTGAAACTATCATGACACCATGTAAGATGTAATGACATTATGTTATGTTATGTTATAAGGGAGATGTTATATAATACTTATTGTTATTATTATATTTATCATCCTGTATAATACTGACAAGTTCGATAAACATAATAGGGAATTTCACCATGAGTTTTTGATTTTTTTTCACGATTTAGAACACATACTGGGTGAATTCAGCATTTTTTCAATTATCTTACGATTGCGGTTGACCCAAAAAAAAATTATTAAATTGAACCTAAATTCAAACGATAGCTCGAATGCGCGCTAAATATTGATTGCATTTCATTGGACGAATACAAGGTGCGTCACACCGCGTCATACACTTGGTCTTGTCATCATTTGTCATTGCATTTGTCACTCAATAAAAATTCAATGAACTCAATGAACTCAATACAACTGGAAGGGAGACGGCCGTTCTCTCGAATAGCACAAAGTGTGTCAGGGGCAGCTGCAACAAAGATAGCATGATTTACGGTAACCTGTCTCTTTCCTACTCGTATTGTTTAATGGTGGATTGGTGTTGTCGTTTGCTTTTATCAAATAATTGAAGTACTTTAGATTTTTCTCACATCTAAACAAGCAAGAAAGTGAAGACATAAGTTCATTGTGTTTGTTTATGTGAAATATCTATTCATTTGGCGTGTTTTGTTTTATAAAAAGGACTGAATTGTCAAAGTTAAATACTTCCATGACTTTTCCATAAACATATTAAGTAATATTATTTGTTGCGGTTTTCCATTCAGACATTCTTGAATTATGGATTAAGGCAGTTTGTATAGAGAGTTGGACTCCATCTAAAACCAGCAAGCTTTGTGGAGAGCATATCCTGCCAACTGATTATTTATTTATACATACCAGGTACTGCTAGGTTATTGAAACCAGATGCTGTAACCAGTATATTTTCATTTCCTAAGCATTTGTTACCAAAAAATACTGACCCTTGAAGGAAAATAAGAAAACTCATAGGTACCTAGTTGATTAATAATGAAAAAAAAATTATGTTTGCACCTCTTTGAAATAAAAAACTAGCTAGTAATTTATTTTCAGGATGCATCTGTGGAAGTTTATAACATTGGGTCCTAAGGAAGATGTTTCTCATATTATGGACTTTACCTATGATTTCCAGCTCCCAAGTTTCGAAGTTCATCAATAATGAAACGATAATGCGATTTTTCCGTTGGGCTTAAATGGTCAATTCATAACAGGTTGATTCTTCGATCTAAAACATAGTTGTTATTAAATCTCGAATCATAAATGAATTGAGGGTTGAAATTGTAGAAGTTACATGGAATAAGAAACTGAAATGTATACGAAAACTGTTTTCAAATTCCGGTGCTGAAATGCGACATATTCTTCTTGAATGAACGAAACAGATAGCCAACAGTTTTCTCCTTGATGAAAAACACTGTATATACCTAACCCACCAGGCGCCTACCTCGGTTGCAATGAGGGTTTACCGACGCCAAGGGTTGATACTCTCCCCTCGTGAGGGTACCTGTCGTGTCTTCATGGAGACATAAAGGTGACTACTGAAACATTTTCTATGATATATCGCCTTCCATAACAAATAATTAATTTTGAAAAAATTATTCTATATGAATTGAATACGACACAGGAATGGGAAACTTATCACCGGTTGCTGATTTTATATCTGGATTCCTCTTCTGTGCGCTTCTTCCGTTGGGCTTAAATGCTCAATTCATAACACGTTGATTCTTCAACCTAAAACATAATTGGCATTAAATCTCGAATTAAAAATAAATTGGGGGTTGAAATTGTGAAGTTACATGGAATGAGAAACTGAAATGTATACGAAAACTTTTCAAATTCCGGTGCTGAAATGCGACATATTCTTCTTGAATGAACGAAACAGATAGCCAACAGTTTTCTCCTTAATGAAAAACACTGTATATACCTAACCCACCAGGCGCCTACCTCGGTTGCAATGAGGGTTTACCGACGCCAAGGGTTGATACTCTCCCCTCGTAAGGGTACCTGTCGTGTCTCCATGGAGACATAAAGGTGACTACTGGAACATTTTCTATGATATATCGCCTTCCATAACAAATAATTAATTTTGAAAAAATATTCTATATAAATCGAATACGACACAAGAATGGGAAACTCATCACCGGTTGCTGATTTTATGTCTGGATTCCTCTTCTGTGCGATTTTTCCGTTGGGCTTGAATGGTCAATTCATAACATGTTAATTCTTCAACCTAAAACATAGTTGGCATTAAATCTCGATTCAAAAATAAATTGGGGGTCGAAATTTTTAAGAAATATGGAATAAGAAACTGAAATGTATACTAAAACTGTTTTCAAATTCCGGTGCTGAAATGCGACATATTCTTCTTGAATGAACGAATCAGATAGCCAACAGTTTTCTCCTTAATGAAAAACACTGTATATACCTAACTGGTTGCTGATCTTATGTCTGGGTTCCTCTTCTGTGTGATTTTTCCGTTGTGCTCAAATGGTCAATACATAACACGTTGATTCTTCAATCTAAAACATAAATGGTGGTCGTATGAACACTAGTGAAAATATGAGATTTCGTATGATCACTAGTTGCAATATACATTGACATAAAGCAACTTTATGTTCCCATGGCTATTGTTTTGACATTTTAAATGTCAACTATGAAAATAATTCCAGAAATTGAATAATTTATAGGGTGTTCCGTTTGAAAAAAAAACATGTATATTCAATTGTTACTTGAATGTGCTATATTGAAAATGAAAATCGACTTATTTCAGGAAATCCTCAGAAATGGAATGTTTGGCTAGAAATGAATGTATTCACTACCTTACGGGAGAACTCAATTTAACGGACGCACTGTATACAAACTCTATGTGTAATATATTTCCGAATTGAGCTTTTTATAAGAAACCAAAAATTGAAAAATATGTAAGGTGTTCCAAAATAATGAAAAAATCACCCACCTTCTCTAAAAAGGGCAACAACAATACAATACATACCAGTCTTTTTAGTATTGGAAAATTCCACCAGAACTCACTCACTCACACACACAAATATTGCACTATAATCACTCAATGACACCATACATTTTGATTCCCACGTGTCAACAATATAAGTTATTTTTTCAAATCAATGAGATCGACTGTACGCAATGAAATCTAATATATTACTGCGTGGCCACCGGTATCTGATGCATGATTCACCACCTTAATGATTCATCAGTTACACGTCATCATTCTAACCGAATAACTCTCGAACAAGAATTGAATTTCTGACTAATCACATCAGAAATAATGTATACGAGGGGTGGTTTAGAAAGAAATTCAATATACAGTGTCACCATTGAAGTCCATATCATGAAAATATGTTCAATCAGGCAAATTTGATGTTTATGAATTGATTTGGCTCTGGAAATAATTCGAAAATTCATCAAACTCGAATTTTGTTTTTAAAAAAGTGGGTTGTTTTGCAAAATTTTATATCCACTCAACGAATTTCAACAATTTCAATATTTTTCTTCAATTTTCCGGCCATTATAATTCCTAAAAATTCGAAAAGGTCATTCAAAATGTGGAATACTCATCAGCTGCAAGAATTTTTCCAAACACTTACGGAGGAACAACTTTTTTATTCAATATTTTTCGAAATATAATGAAAACCTAATTTATTCAATCAAAAAGTTTGTCAAAGCTTGCAAGTACATCCAATTGACGAAAAAATAATTTTCAAAATTATTTTGTATTGTTTTTAAAGCAAAAACTGATTATGAATAACACATTTTTGTGAACTATAGTGCCCTCCAGACGATTGTGATGCGATCTAAGAGCTTTTACATGGCACACGTTAATAAATATGAAATTTCAAAAGACTTTGTCCTGCACTCTTCACAAAATTGCGAATAATTCTGCAACTTGTTTTATTGATCTCTATTTAATCACTCCGTATATGAATAAAAAGTAAATAATAAAAAAAATCACTCACCATCTCTGAAAAGAAGAAGAACAACAACAACAATACATCTCAGTCTTTTTATTGTTGGAAAATTCCACCAGAACTCACTCACTCACACACACAAATATTGCACTATAATTACTCCATGACACCATACATTTTGATTTCCACGTGTAAACAATATTTGTTATTTCTTCAAATCAATCAGATCGACTGCACCCGATGAAATCTAATACAATACTGCGTCGCCACCGGTATCGCATGCATGATTAACCTCCATAGTGATTCATCAGTTACGTCATCATTCTAACCGAATAATAATTCTCGAACAGGAATTGTATTTCTGTCCGTATCATGAGAATATGTTTATTCAGGCAAATTTGATGTTCATGAATTGTCTTGTCTCTGAAAATGATTCGAAATTTCGTCAATCTCGAAGTTTGTATGAAAAAATAACAAATAAAGTGGGTTGTTTCACAAAATTTTATATCCACTCAACAAATTTCAACAATTTCAATTTTTTTCTTCAATTTTCGGGCCATTGTGATTTCTAAAAATTCGAAAAGGTCATTCAAAATGTGGAATACTCATCAGCAATAACAAATCCATTGAATATACAAATGTAACATCATTTGAGGGAAAAATTGAATCCTTTATTGCTGGTATTATATATAAAATTCGACATGTCATTCCTGTTAGATACCTAAACAGTATTTATTTCTGTATTTTGTATTCAAATTTACAATATCTTATATCTATTTGGGGAAGTACAAATATTTCACGTTTGAAGCCACTCATGAAATTACAAAATAAAACAATAAAGTGCATTTTTAATTTACCTAATTTAGAATCAACTGTGAATCTATACAAACCTAAAGACTTTCTGAATTTAGTTTCATTATATAAACTCTGAATTTGTTGTTTTATTCATTTTGTCAGGAAGGAATTGAAAATATCAAATATGACGAAGATGATTTCCACTTGAATGGCATTATTATTCATGCATATAATAGCGTTATTTGGCATGAACACTCCTAACCACTTCATTTTGTTGGCCTTTTCACATTTTTACTGTATCTCGAACAAAGCTCTCCAATCTCGAATGACAATGAGTGACAGGCTGACACTGAGGAAATTCGTCAACAAATAATGCAGGTTATGTTGAATAGCTCATTTGACACAGGAAATAGATGACGCCACATGCCGTCCCTTCGAAATTTCATTGCAGGGCGATTTGGCGATTTTCGCTGAATGAACAGTCATGTATAACCCGTCAGACAGTCCAGATATTTAGCCGTCATTGGTCAGGGGCAGCTGCAACAAAGATAGCATGATTTACGGTAACCTGTCTCTTTCCTACTCGTGTTGTTTAATGGTGGATTGCTGTTTACGTTTTCTTTTATCTAATAATTAAAGTACTTTAGATTTTTTTCTCTCATCTTAACAGGCAGGAAAGTGAAGACATAAGTTCATTGTCTTTGTTTATGTGAAATATCTATTCATTTGGCGTGTTTTGAAAAGAAAAGTGTTGATTGATGGGTGCTTCTACTCAATCGAGTAATACCTATCAACCACATATTTCGAACCACTGCCACGGTGACAACTTATGCCTTTTCCTTGATTGCATTTATGTATTTTTATTATTATCTGGTTTTTAATCTGTATGTTGATGTTATATTTTATAAGTATGTATTTTAGACTTTAGACTAAGTATCACTAGATTTCATTCCATTTCTTCTTTGCAAGTGCAGTGCATGGCAAATAATTGTGCACCTTGTTCTATTGATTTCTATTCAATCACTCCGTATATGAATAGAAAGAAAATAATGAAAAAATCACTCACCTTCTCTAAAAAGGGCAACAACAATACAATACATACCAGTCTTTTTATTGTTGGAAAATTCCACCAGAACTCACTCACTCACACACACAAATATTGCACTATAATCACTCAATGACACCATACATTTTGATTCCCACGTGTAAACAATATAAGTTATTTTTTCAAATCAATGAGATCGACTGTACGCAATGAAATCTAATATATTACTGCGTGGCCACCGGTATCTGATGCATGATTCACCACCTTAATGATTCATCAGTTACACGTCATCATTCTAACCGAATAACTCTCGAACAAGAATTGAATTTCTGACTGATCACATCAAAAATAATGTATAGGAGGGGTGGTTTAGAAAGAAATTCAATATACAGTGTCACCGTTGATGTCCGTATCATGAAAATATGTTCAATCAGGCAAATTTGATGTTTATGAATTGATTTGGCTCTGGAAATAATTCGAAAATTCATCAAACTCGAATTTTGTTTTTAAAATAGTGGGTTGTTTTGCAAAATTTTATATCCACTTAACGAATTTCAACAATTTCAATATTTCATTCATTCCATTTCTTCTTTCATTTCTTGTATTGACTTGACCTGTCATAAACCTACTATATGTATGTAACGTGATCAATGAAAATATATCTATCTATCTATTATTATTCCAGGGACCTGTTCAACGCCATCGCTGATGGAAAGCACCCCTCCTGGACCTTCTACGTGCAGATCATGACGGCAGAGCAGGCGGCCGCTTCCAAGTTCAACCCGTTCGACCTGACCAAGGTGTGGCCGCAGGGCGAGTATCCGCTGATCAGGGTCGGCAAGATGGTGCTCAACCGCAATCCGGAGAACTATTTCGCCGAGGTGAGCATCACACTACGCTGTTTCATCACTAGAGAGGGAACTGGAAAAAATGCAACAATTTTCTGAAGGCTGAAATTTCTATATTTCATAGTACTAGCTTTTAGCCGCGGCTTCACTCGCATTGAATCCCGTAAATAAATGTCGATAAAACTGAATCAATGTGATTCAGTATCTAAAAATTGCAACATATAATGAAATGTGGAAAACTGAAAACGTGCTACATTGAAATAATTACAAAAGTTGGAATGTATTTCACTACAACAACATGCTTCCGCATGGATTATTGGTTGCGCCTTTTCTCTAGATTGACCGATTCAGGTAGTATTGAATTCGTGCATTTCGATTGCACAGAAGACTAAAACGTCAATGTCATTCGTATTCAAGTCACTGAATAGCAAAAAATCTGAAGGGCAGTGATGAAATTGCGCCTTCGAAGTGCCCACCTGATGTTTGGTTATATATTTGTCATTTTCATTTCATCATCTAAATAATCCGAGACTTACGAGTCCCAAAAGATATATAGATATAAAGAATATTCAAGTTAGCGACGTATAGAGTTTCATGTCTGATTGATGGATATTTTGTGTCCAACACTTATGTCTGCCAATTTTTTTTCTGTGATTGAACCAGTAGCGTGGGTGAAGCGAGGGGCAAGACAATTTTACTACAATGACAATGCTCTACCTAATAGAAAATCTGGGTCTGAACTTTCAATTTTAATACCAAATATTTGTAGTACATTAGGTACTTACCTAATTTTGATCCATCATTCAGTGGAATTTTACCAAAAAATCGAGGTTTCTTGCAAGAATTTAGTTAGATAACCTGCGATAACTACACCACTGCTCAAGTTGATATAACCTTGGGGTTTGTATTTTTTTTTATCTCTTGAAGCGCACGAAAGGAAATTCCTAATGCTCGTGGAACATCGCGCGTACCTAGGAAGGATAAGAAGAGGAGGTAGGTGTTGGATTTTTTTCAAATTTTGGGGGTTAAAAGTTCTTGGGAATACTTCCATTGGCAAAAAATTCCAAAGCTTTGCCGGTCTTCAGACATCGTTGTCTGCTGAATACGATTTTGGATCGGGAAAAATGTAAACGATTTCGTCTCCTCTCTTTTTATATGTCTATGTATGTAACCAAACAGCTGTTGAAGTATGTCTTCAGCAGCCGTTTATAGTAGATTCCCTGTATATACCTTAGACAAGAGTCCGGACACAAAACTGACAGCCTTTGGGGTTTTTAATATTTTGTTTCATTCGGTTTGCCCACCTGATAATGTGACGAAACACCATAGTCGTCCGCCCGCTTTTTTAAAATTATTTCGAATTTCTGTCACTGTCACTTTGAAATTTTATGACCGCCAAAATTTAGCATTTTAAATTATTTCAATGTCCTGCTGCCTACACAATTGCGATAATTCATTGGAAAAGGGATTCAAGTTATTCAATTTTCCGAATGATTATGGAAGAATGCAATGCGAAACGTCCAGAATTGAAAATTAATTTCAAGAAATCCGCAATATGTGAGGTAAATATTAAAATTTACTTGTAAAAACAGTACAAAAAGGAAGAATTTTAGGCCCATTTTGATAGAGATTCTTTCAAGCTGATGGATTTCAAATTGAAAGAGTCTGCTGTGCCGTCAATATATGAAATAGAGACGTTCAAAAAAAGATTCCCGTCGTCATCGTATTGGGAATTACTGAATGATACGATCGCAGGGAAAGAAAATGAGAATGAGATGATGAGGAAAGACATTGAAAGTTTGAAATCAAAACTAGAAGATTTAGAAAAACTGCAATGTGCTACGTCGTCAGTCCACGCTGTTTTTAATTCTTATCAAATTCAATATTTACAGGTGAATGTAGACTGCAGGAAGAGGTGGGAAACCGACACAATTAATAAAGTACTCGCTATCAAATATATTGTTGTTTTGATTTTGTCACTTATTTCTGATGAGTGTTATTGAATTGAGAGAATCGGAGAAAATTATTATCTTTTATTTCTTTATATACCAACAGAAAACAACTATATTTTCTTGGCTATATGTGATACCACGTAGAACACTTAAATTATCTTCCTTATATCTTATAAAGTGAAGAAATATCTGATGACGAAAATTTGCAATAGCCATCTCAGGAATTGATTATGAAAATTATCGATTCGAAATTTGAACACCCTGTTGTTCATTATTTGAAAATTTAATAGTTATTCTAGTTAAAATAGCCCTATTTCTCACTTCTACCTACGGCTATGAACGGTTTGACAAATAATCTAACCCTCAAAATTGTTTCTGACAGTCATTGATACTAGGGAAATTGAAAAGAAAGAGCTCGATATATATGTCTTATTCCTTTATTCAATCATCAATGCATTTTTTGAAAACAGAAAAGGACAGAAGTATAGCTGTGTCCGGACTCTTGTCTAAGGTATATACAGGGACTCTAGTTTATAGTACAAACCGTACGGATCACTAGATTTTTTCTCCATATTTCTTTGCCCTAAAAGAAAAAATATCCCCTTGTATCCTGTCTACATGTAAGCTACGTTATAAGGTGGTGAAACGAAAACGTTGCACAAATAACATACAAACTCTGTCTGAGATATATCTGATAAACCTGAAATCAATATATCACAATATTATCTAATGATATTGATGTCAATATTGATGCAACGTCTCATAAACGTTTTACTTCATAATATTGTGTTGGATACTTCAGAAGGACATTATCGCGATGTTATTTCAACAATATCACAAAACTTATGACTGAAAAACATTTTTGTTATGTATCATGTTTAGTGGGGTGCGCCTCCTCCTTTAGTGACCCTCGATTGATTGATTGATTGATTAATAGCAGAATGATCAGTCAGGGTTTGAAGCCCAAAACACTGCAGCCTTTGGGCCTATTGTATTCCTCCTCCTCATTGCATAGTCTGCATATGGGTTCGTCTGTATAGATGCCCATTTGATGCATATGTTTCCTCAAGGGGCAGTGACCGGTTATTAGTCCCGTCACTTGTTTGATCTGACTTCTGTTTAGGCTCAGAATGTCGTTAGTCACTGTTTTGGACAGTGTTCCAACCATCAGTTTACTGTGTCTTTGTCCTGGGACATTGTTCCAGTATGCCTGATGTCTTTCTTGCATCCACCTTGCCAGCCAGCCGCATATTGAGGTTTTGGGGATACCGAACACAGGTTCCGGCCCCATAAACAACGTCGCAGACCCTTGCCGAGCAAGAGCGTCAGCTGCTTCATTGCCTTCAATTCCCTTATGCCCTGGCACCCATTGAAGAGTTACCTTGTTGTGGTTAGCCAGGGTTAGCAGGCTTTGAAGGCAATCCCAGACCAATTTTGATCTGATTTTATTGCATGTTAGAGATTGAATGGCCGCCTGACTATCTGAGCATATGAGGATTTGTTTACCTCTGTATCCTCTTACGATATTCTCTCTCAGGCATGCCTCAATAGCATGCACCTCTGCCTGGAATACTGAAGCATACCTCCCCAAGGAAGCACACATCCTGGTTCTGGGTCTATCTCCATATATTCCGGCTCCCGTGCCCTCATCAGTCTTAGAACCGTCAGTGTACCATACTAACGTGCCTTCCTGACAGTTAGTCAAGACCCTTTCATCCCAGTAGAGCTGAGTGTTGAAGGGTCTGTAATAGTTATTTCTAGGCAGCATTTTGTCCCTTCCCATATCCATTAGTGGGCTTGAAACTTGGCTGATTATTTTTGTATGTCCCAGGGAGTCACCCCGAGCATACCAGTTGCCGGTACACTCCAGTGACCCTCACCGACATGCCTTTTTTCAGGTCGAGCAAATCGCCTTCAGCCCCGCCCACATGCCGCCCGGCATCGAGGCCTCGCCCGACAAGATGCTGCAGGCGCGCCTGTTCGCCTACGGTGACACGCACCGCCACCGCTTGGGCGCCAACCACCTGCAGCTGCCCGTCAACTGCCCCTTCAAGGTGAAGAACTACCAGCGAGACGGGCCGATGTGCTACAACAACCAGGGCTCGGCGCCCAACTACTTCCCGAACAGCTTCGGGGGGCCGCAGAACGACCAGGTGGCCAAGTCGCTCGATCCGCCGTTCGCGGTTTCCGGGGAGGCGTACAGGTACGCAAAATTTAGCCACTGAACTTGATATGACCATGGGCGCCGCCGCCACTTGAGCCTTTTCAGTCTAGACGGGATATTTGTTGTGAAAAATGAATGTTTTTTTTGTGACGGGAAAAAAGTCTGACATATCTGTCATCTCTGTTGACAGGTTATAAAATGTCACTTTTCTTAAATTAGTTTTTTTCACGGGGAGTTCTTGTTTCCAGGATATACAGGGTGTTCCTTAATGATATGCCAATATTCAAGGGGCCGATTCTTCGACCCATTTCAAGAATAAAACTTCATATGAACGTATGTCGTAAACGTCCAAACTTTGGAGATACAGGGTGTCAATGTTTAGAATATGCATAGATTATTTTTTTGCCCACCCTTTAAAGCTTTTCGAGATGGCAAAATTCAGTCTGCTATGTGACTGAATCGGTATACAAATCTCAAAATGTTACATACTGTGGTTATCCAGTAATGGATGTCCTGAATGGAGTACTCAGACATCAAAATTTGAAGTCTGGTCTCGTTTTTCCGTTTTTTCTCGAAAACGAAGCGTTCTATCGAGTATCAACAAGAGGATCTTTTTTGTACATAATCAAATAGCCATTTATGACGTTGTATAAAATTTGTAATTTTTTCTGTCGTTGCTCACTTTTAAGTAAAATATAAACAATAACATTCCCGTAACGTTGCCACTGGTAGAGGAAATGAAAATTGTTATACATCAGAAAATGCACCTTGAGGCATAAAAGACGTGTACCAAATTTCATGAAGATGTATACAATATTGTCTCAGTTATTATCAAAACACTGAATATTTTTCAAAACTTCATCACCCTGTATCTCAAAAGTTAAGACTTTTAGGACATATGTTCATATGAAGTTTTCTTTTTAAAATGAGTCAAAGAATCGCCCCCTCGAATATTAGCATGTCTTTAAGGAACACCCTGTATATCAGTGTGACCCACTTCTAATGGAAATAACACCACTGTATCTTATGTAATCGTTGGGTAAGGATACTGAAATTTGCTGGAGCGAGAAATATACCAAAAATGTACTATATGACCAAGTGGAGTCATCTTCAGTGATATACACTGCTCGCCAACAGCCATGGAACCACCCTCAATTTCCGGAAAATTATATTAAAAGTCGAAATAGGTTGAAAATCACTTCGGATTCGGAATCAGGACGCCCAATTCACTAACTATTCATAGTTTTCCTAGTAAATTTTCAGTTTAGAAAAATTAAACCAAACCTTCAGTCATTTTGAGAATTTGGGGTTATGCCTTCTGTCACTGCTTGTCATAGTGTCCGTACTCTTATAAGTTGCGTGCAAGAACTGTCAGATGACCGACCCTGGAGGTGAAACTTTGAAACACAAACCCACTTTTCTTATTTGTTTACAAATAATTGAAATTGTTTTTCACAATTATTTTGGCATACGAACCGTGTTTTTCGGCTATTCATTGATTCGCACAAAAAATGCAGCGAGAGACGAAGAAATCCGGTTAGTTCATTATGATTTAAAAGTAAGTACCTACAATAGTCACTCACATATAGTTTTCATTTTGAAATTTGGTAATTTCTCTGATTTCTCATCGGAATTCCTTTTGCAATAGGAGCTAATAGAAATACCCGTGAAATTTCTAAAAGAATGCAAGAAGATTTGGATTCTACATGCAATCATACGGGAGGACTGGTCTGACATGCTGACGAAATATGATCATGTGTGTTGTAGACATTTTCAATATGAAATGACAAAATTTTATGATGAAAACTATGTGAGATTACGATTTACCTGAAAAGTCATATTCCTTATTCGTCTCTCGCTGCATCTTTTGTGTATTGTACAACAGCACAATGAGAAGGCATGCTTGAATTGATGAATAGCGCAAAAAACACTATTCATTTGCCAAAATATTGTGGAAAACTATTTCAATCCTTTGATTCCTCTGTGAACAAATAAAAAAGTGAGGTTGTGTTTTCAATGTTTCACAGAAGAGTGAGGTTGTGTTTTAATATTTTACCTCCAGGGTCGGTCATCGTGCACGAGACCTATTACAGCAAATCAAATACATACAGGGACTCTAACAGAGACTTATATTCTAACAAATATCGTTTAATTTTTCTAGATATGACAACAGAGATGACGACAACTTTACTCAAGCGAGAGTGTTCTACCAGACGGTGTTGAAGAAGGACGAACAGGACAGGCTGATCGAAAACGTCGCGGCCCATCTGTCCGGCGCTGCCGATTTCATCCAAGAGAGACAGGTCAAGCTGTTCAGACAGGTGGACAACCAGTTGGGCGAGAGGGTCTCCCAAGGGCTCAACACTCTTAAACGTGCCAAGGCTAACCTTTAATCGGTTAGAGGGGGTTTATTGATTATTTTTAAGGTTTTATGTTGGAGAATATTATATTTGTGAAGGTGTTTGTGCATTTGTAATGTTTTTAATAAAACATTTGTTTTACATTGCTCTTGTTTCATTTCACTCAGTATTGCCAGGCTTTTTTTTTCCTGGGATAATTTAATTCATGTATAAAAAATCCCGTAAGTCGCTGTTTTCATTATGACAGAGAAAAAACTTTGCTCTAAGTTTCGAAGCCATGACAACCAAAATAAACACAATCTTCGATGACCTTATTGTAATTTCTTCTCAATCTTGCGTTTTCTGAAAAGTATCTAATCTGTGGAAATGTCACGATTTGGAGATTCTCGAGTGGAGAAATTGAGAAATTCATCAACCATTATGTGATTCACGCATTCATTGATTTGTTTTACTGAATTACACTCAAGCATTTCATTGGGTCAAAGTTACCAAAATTTTTAATTCGAGTTTTGTTGCCTTTAGCAGAGATTATACAATCTCTGCCTCTAGGGAATTAAACACAAAAAACTACCAGAAAATATTACGTCCTAGGGACTCGTGTCAAAGACATTTTTTTTTGTTTAATTTCTAGGCAACAGAGAATTCTCATTGAAATGTCAAGTTGACTTTGACAAAAAACAGTTACGTGTAAGTGGCAAATATTCTCTTGGGCAGTATAGTGGTGGTGCCGTATGGATTTTCATTGAACTATACAATAGTATCGGTTTTCAGGAAAATTATATAGGGAGCTCTTATTATTTATTGCAGTTTCCATTTCATTTTATTCAAGCCATTTCGAATTCATGTGGAAAATGTGTGCTGTCATCTGTCAAATCATTTTTATGTATTTTTATTCATCAAACGTCATTTTCACAAATTTTATCTCGGTATTCTGGGATTGAATTTGAATAAATAATCATAATATTGAGTAATTATACAGGGTGTTTCTTAAGTACGTGTAGAAAATTCAGGAGCATGTTGCTGACGTCTAAATAGGAAGAAAAGTTCGTATAAACATATGTCCGAAAGTTATCCGTTTCTGAGATACAGAGTGTCAAAGTTGAATTCTTATTGGATGAGTTCAAAAAAGCAAGTACAAATAAGTGAGAATCATATTTTGCCTACATTCCAATGTTGAATGAAGAAGAATATTGAATGGAAGAAGAAAAATGCATTGGCGTACCGTATCTTTCCTGATATTCACTAGAGACGACTTACGCGAGCCACATGGAAATAATTCGAATGCATCCATTATTTCGAATCCCACTAATTCGAAAACAGTTGCTCGCAGCGACCTCTACCAAGAATATATTTTTTACACAAAAGTGTTCTAGAAACCTATTTTTTTACTATGAAACGTTAATTATACAGAGGTATATGCACAAAAAAGTTATAACTTTTCGAAAGACTCATAAGACATGGTAGGTGGCGCCACCCCCATACTTTCTAGTAGAAGCGACAACACTGCATTGTCAAAAATATTTTGAATGAATAGAGAGCGTATTCTATAAAATATAAGCATGCACATATATTCTCAATTTCTCATCGATGGATTTCTCCGGACTGATTCTCGATACTAGTGTGAATAATCAATGTTCTCGATATAAAGATGTGTAAGCTCGTCGTGACACACCCTGTATAGGTTACTCTCTAGGATCGTTACATCATACAGGATGATGTATATAATCCAGAAGATATCTGTAAGCTCTAGGATCAATGTGATAACAAAAAGATATAATAATTAAAGAATTCTGCATGCATTGTCTTGCCTATACCTTCAAAGTTCAAAAAGGGATCTATCGCCCTTATTAGGAAGCATTTTCGGACACAATCATGTTGATTCAGTAACGTTTTTTTGGAGTATACGAACGTTGATGTATACTGGAACGCCACACCCTGTATAACAAAAGATAAGCATTTCAGGAAAGATGGAAGGGTGTAAGGCTTATGAATGATACGAAAAAAACTACTGAAATGTCTCTCATTTGTTTCATTTTGATATTTTTGATACAAAATATAAAATAATAATTCTATATAAATTCTAATGAATTTTGAATTGCCGCCGCGCATGCGCTTTCCACCCCACCTCCTACTCTACAATAACCGCATACCAGACATTTTATGTGAATCCCTGTGCAAGGCCATTGTGATTATGAAGTGTTGTGCGAGAAAATCCATTTTTCCTCAATAATTCCGGTAGATATCACATCAACAAATCTGGAAAATTTAATTACAAGGCGATTTTTCGCTATGGAGAACTCAAACTCGGAAGGCGTCGTCCTACCGGACATTTCCGAAGCCGAACATCTTGCGAGCGAGCACGATGGCGGCGATGATGAGGATGATGATGTGGTGGATTCGAAGAAATCGCTCGTTTCGGCGGTTTCCGTAAGACACGGAGGTGTCCCTGTATCTCTTCCGGTGGGATCATTGATAACCAGCACATTCAATGTCATCACCCAAGATCAAATTCCCCATTTCAAGCCCATGTTATGCGTGGACAACGGGGGCTACATAGCTACAGATGGCTCAGGAAACGAGCTCAAGACCATCGTCATTCAACAGGAGGATGTACAGGGCGGATCTGTGAACACTCCCGTTTCGACCCCTTCGATTGTGGGGAGCTGGAATGATGCAGCTCATGCAGCCGTTTTGCCTGTCCGGTGCAAAAACACCTCTGCAGAATTGCACAAATGTAGATTTGGGTCAGGCGGCAGGGGGCGGTGCATTAAACTGGGAAATTCATGGTACACTCCCAGTGAATTCGAAGCACTGTGTGGTAGGGCTTCCAGTAAAGACTGGAAAAGGAGCATCAGATTTGGTGGAAGGAGTCTACAAACATTGATAGATGAAGGTAGGCTAACATTCTGTAATTGTTCAACTGCATCCTTACTGTTTTTACAGGAATAATTTTACCTCATGCCACTAGCTGTACTTGTTCAGCTTGTTGTGATGATGATTCAGCTACTGGCCCAGTGAGACTTTTCACTCCATATAAGAGGAAAAGAAGAAAAGAAAATGATTCTGGCAAGCGTTCCAATGGTGATGACAGTGACCCACAGAGCAAAGAGGATGCTTGGCAAAACTTGGCTGAAGGTCTGGATTCTTCAGACTACCAACTGATTGAACCTGTGGGACCTGTAGACCCTCATTTTCAAATCAAAAGGTTGGAAGATATTGCAATGGAGATAAACAAGCTGGCCCAGGAGTTCAGAAGGGGGCTGACTGAGCTCAAAGATACTGTGAGCAGGCAGACTGATAAGTTTCAAAGGGAAAAAGATGCTGCTGTTTTGGCTGCTAGGGTTGAGGCCCAAGTGGCAGCTCTTCAGCCTGAAAATCACTCTGATTCTACTCTGCAGCCTGCTCTGGACAATGATAATCAGAAGAAGGTGAGGAATTATTATTACTGAATTGGTTTCAGCAGGAGTTCCATATATCTCTGCAAATTTGAATTAAACATTTTCTTTTTTTCAGTGTGCGAACTGTAATAGAGAAGCCTTGGCTGAATGTTCATTGTGTAGAAGAACCCCTTATTGTTCCACTTTTTGTCAGAGAAAAGATTGGGCTTCCCATCAGGTGGAATGTGTACGGGGTGTTGCAGCTGATACAGGCTCTCAGCAATCCATAATGCTGATTGTTGAAAGTGCTGATCAACAGTAGCAGGAAATTGAAAATTGTTCAACAATTTGTGTAATGAATAGTACCAAAAATCTTCTAAGTATGTACATACATAAGTATATATATTTTTTATGGAAGTTTCTAAAAGCACTTCTCATTTATTGATGGGTCAGTCAAATTTATTCTGCAACATTTTTATATGTTATATGTAATTTCTTACACTATAAATTATAATTCATACCAGTTGGAAGTGTTCTCATTTCATTGAAAACTTCAGTTTTTCTCTTATAGAATACATTTTTACTTTCACTAATCACTGAAATGATAATTATAATCTCTAGCCACCAAACTTGGCAGATGAAAAACTGCTGAAAGAATATTTTGAATAGGTAATAATGATGATATTATGGAGTGCAGCAATTTCTAGGATTGGAGATAGGAAAAAAATATTTGTATATTTCATGCTCAACACCAATTTGTGTTTGAACAGGTAGGTATAATGAACTGAATAACACTTTTTAATTTTATAGTGATAAAATGAATCTGACAGTGACAATTTTCAAGTGAATTAACTGCTATTTTTTCCAATAAATTCAAATACTTTAGGTTTTTTGACAGACTTTTATTTTGAACACTTGAATATTTTCTCTCTGTCTCCCTCTGGAGATCTTTATCATAATCATTGTCTGAAAATAATGCTCATATTTTTTTTTTTTCATCAAAAATATGTTTCATCAATCAAGCTCTGAAAATTATCATGTTTTACAACTGAAATGTCTCTTGATGATATTTTTCTGGTAGTAGCTAGTGTGAATGATAAAATCTCAACTTTTTTTCACAAAGGCAAATAGAAAACCACTATTAGGATGCTTTAATTATTTTATTTTTTTGATTCTACTCTGAAGTGAACAAATTGTTGCCATCAGATATGTAAAACCTGAAGAAAATGTGTTTATTTGGTGGTATTTTCACCTTTGTGATATAAGTTATACTAACATTGTAATTGACAGAAAATGAATTTCATTTGTTAATATTGATTGAATAAAAAATTGTTGATGAACTATTCCATATAAATTCAAAAGCATATATGTTGAATGTTTACACTAGATTGACTCATTAGTTGTTTTGTACGAAGGCCTGGAAGGGACATGTAAAATAAAAAAAATTAACTCTTCAAAATTGTGAGTTTCAACTCGGAATTTTAAAATTCCGACTTATATCTGGGAATTTTAAAATTCCGACTTATATCTCGGAATTTTACATCCAAAATTCCGAGTTATAACTCAGAATTTTACATCCAAAATTCCGAGTTATAACTCAGAATTTTAAAATTCCGTGTTATAACTCGGAATTTTACATCAAAGTTCCGACTCATTGCTCGGAATTTCAAAATTCTGAGTTATAACTCGGAATATTGGATGTGAAATCCCGAGTTATAAATCGGAATTTTAAAATTCTGAATTATAACTCAGAATTTTGGATGTAAAATTCCGAGTTATAACTCAGAATTTTCAAGTTTTTATTTTTTTCATTTTATGTGTCCCTTCCAGGGCTTCGTAGGTACGAAGGCCTGGAAGGGACATGTAGAATAAAAAAAAATAACTCTTCAAAATTGTGAGTTTCAACTCGGAATTTCAAAATTCCGACTTATATCTGGGAATTTTAAAATTCCGACTTATATCTCGGAATTTTACATCCAAAATTCCGAGTTATAACTCAGAATTTTGAAATTCCGTGTTATAACTCGGAATTTTACATCAAAGTTCCGACTCATTGCTCGGAATTTCAAAATTCTGAGTTATAACTCGGAATATTGGATGTGAAATCCCGAGTTATAAATCGGAATTTTAAAATTCTGAATTATAACTCAGAATTTTGGATGTAAAATTCCGAGTTATAACTCAGAATTTTCAAGTTTTTATTTTTTTCATTTTATGTGTCCCTTCCAGGGCTTCGTAGGTACGAAGGCCTGGAAGGGACATGTAGAATAAAAAAAAATAACTCTTCAAAATTGTGAGTTTCAACTCGGAATTTCAAAATTCCGACTTATATCTGGGAATTTTAAAATTCCGACTTATATCTCGGAATTTTACATCCAAAATTCCGAGTTATAACTCAGAATTTTGAAATTCCGTGTTATAACTCGGAATTTTACATCAAAGTTCCGACTCATTGCTCGGAATTTCAAAATTCTGAGTTATAACTCGGAATATTGGATGTGAAATCCCGAGTTATAAATCGGAATTTTAAAATTCTGAATTATAACTCAGAATTTTGGATGTAAAATTCCGAGTTATAACTCAGAATTTTCAAGTTTTTATTTTTTTCATTTTATGTGTCCCTTCCAGGGCTTCGTAGGTACGAAGGCCTGGAAAGGACATGTAGAATAAAAAAAAATAACTCTTCAAAATTGTGAGTTTCAACTCGGAATTTCAAAATTCCGACTTATATCTGGGAATTTTAAAATTCCGACTTATATCTCGGAATTTTACATCCAAAATTCCGAGTTATAACTCAGAATTTTGAAATTCCGTGTTATAACTCGGAATTTTACATCAAAGTTCCGACTCATTGCTCGGAATTTCAAAATTCTGAGTTATAACTCGGAATATTGGATGTGAAATCCCGAGTTATAAATCGGAATTTTAAAATTCTGAATTATAACTCAGAATTTTGGATGTAAAATTCCGAGTTATAACTCAGAATTTTCAAGTTTTTATTTTTTTCATTTTATGTGTCCCTTCCAGGGCTTCGTAGGTACGAAGGCCTGGAAGGGACATGTAGAATAAAAAAAAATAACTCTTCAAAATTGTGAGTTTCAACTCGGAATTTCAAAATTCCGACTTATATCTGGGAATTTTAAAATTCCGACTTATATCTCGGAATTTTACATCCAAAATTCCGAGTTATAACTCAGAATTTTGAAATTCCGTGTTATAACTCGTAATTTTACATCAAAGTTCCGACTTATTGCTCGGAATTTCAAAATTCTGAGTTATAACTCGGAATTTTAAAATTCTGAATTATAACTCGGAATTTTGGATGTAAAATTCCGAGATATGTCGGAATTTTAAAATTCCGAGTTATAACTCAGAATTTTCAAGTTTTTATTTTTCTTATTTTATGTGTCCCTTCCAGGGCTTCGTAGGTACGAAGGCCTGGAAGGGACATGTAAAATAAAAAAAATTAACTCTTCAAAATTGTGAGTTTCAACTCGGAATTTTAAAATTCCGACTTATATCTCGGAATTTTAAAATTCCGACTTATATCTCGGAATGTTACATCCAAAACTCCGAGTTATAACTCAGAATTTTGAAATTCCGTGTTATAACTCGGAATTTTACATCAAAGTTCCGACTCATTGCTCGGAATTTCAAAATTCTGAGTTATAACTCGGAATATTGGATGTGAAATCCCGAGTTATAACTCGGAATTTTAAAATTCTGAATTATAACTCGGAATTTTGGATGTAGAATTCCGAGATATGTCAGAATTTTAAAATTCCGAGTTATAACTCAGAATTTTCAAGTTTTTATTTTTTTCATTTTATGTGTCCCTTCCAGGGCTTCGTAGTTTTGCTATCTTCAGTTATTTTTGGCCAAAATTTTCTAATATTTTTTGAAAATATATTTTCCGTTCCAGGTTTTTATTTTTCAAATTTTATCACTTTCTGGAAAAACATTACACTATTTGTATTTCTGACCTTTTCTTCTCAGAAACTGACCTCTCATATATTATCTCTCATGATTATCATTGGCTGAAGAGATGTTTCATCAATCAGGCTCTAGAAATCATATTGGAGTATGTTTCACAACAGAAAAATCACTTGTAACTTTTATTGTTGGTCATTATACAGGGTAACTCACGGTCGATGGTACGTTAGACGTTTATGGAGAACGGGACATAGGATCATTCTGGAATTTTGGTTACTCACGTAGTTGCTCTTGGTCTATCGATCTAAAATATTTCCAGCTCTGCGTTGCCGCTTCTATCGAAAAGTAGCAACAACATTGTAATTTTAAATAAAACACCCTGTATTTTATTGCATTTTCAGATTCTCTCTGAAGAGCTGATTTCATCGATGTATCACACTTGGGGTCTAGCGGAAATGATTACAGAGATATAGGGCGTGAAAAATCGTCATTTTTCAACTTTAGAAATTTTTTTGTCGAAACTATTCATTATTGGTCAAAACAGCTTACATGTCCCTATCTCAACTTTTGATTAACAATCTACTGATATTTAATTGGGACATATACCGGGTGATTAAGATTCTGAATTCTGCACCACCCTGTATTTGTTTCAATTAAATGTCTGTAGATAGTTGATCAAAAGTTGAGATAGGGACATGTGAGCCGTTTTGACCAATAATGAATAGTTTCCACAAAAAAAATCCTAAAGTTGAAAAATGTCGATTTTTCACACCCTATATCTCTGTAATCATTTCCGCTAGACCCCAAGTGTGATGCATCGATGAAATCAGCTCTTCAGAGAGAATCTGAAAATGCAATAAAATACAGAGTGTTCCATTTAAAATAACAAAGTTGCTGCTACTTTTCGATGGAAGCGGCAACGCCGCAAGCTGAATATATTTTAGATCGATAGACCAAGAGCCACTACGTCAGTAACCAAAATTTCAGAATGATCCTATGTCCCGTTCTCCATAAACGTCTAACGTACCATCGACCGTGAGTTACCCTGTATGATAGTAAGGCTGGTGTTAATCATGAACTTTCAAGCCGAGATTCAACCATTCCTGACAAAGGTACACAAAAACTACCATTGGGATAATTTAATTACTTTATTTCTTCAATTCAACTCTGAAATGTACAAATTGTTACTCTTAGATATATGAAAAAACACAAAACAGTGTTGATTCAATGGTATTTTTCCATTTGTTATACATGTTATATTAAAATTGTAATTATTATGACACCAATTAATTTCATTTTGTTAACATTGATTGAATAAAATTTCATTAAAAAAACTGTTTCAAATATTCAATTTCTCTAAAAAAACATAAATATGGGAATAAAACAAATTGAATGGTAAAAACAGATATTCTACCCTAGAATGACTGATTTGTGATTCTGCTATCCTCAGTTCTTTCAGGCCAGGATTTCCTAATATTTTCCAACAACTTATTCGTCCCCCCCACATCCAAATAATTATCAATGCCCACATCTTGGAGATCTTTGCGGACCAATTTATTTGCCGCAGCATTGACCAATCGCATTGCATGCGTTTCTAGCATCATCAAGGGACCAATAGGGACGTCCACTTTCTTTTGTTCATTTGTGATATCCACACTTTTCAAGAACGCCAAAAAATCTTCCTCTTGTTTGATTTTACTCGGCTCGGGCGCCTCGAACTTGTGTCTCCTGACGTCATCGGCGAAGGGCAGTCCTACCATAACCAAACATTTCGGGTTCATGTCCGGCCGGGGGATTAGAACATTATATTTGGGTATGCAGTTGGCGTTGGTGACCTTCTTGATTATCCCGTATTTTTTTTGGTCCGCCAGTACGTTTACCAAGTGATAGAATAACTCACAGCTGTCATCTTCAAGTTCATTGTTGGGAAGGACATAGAATGTATCATCTCCTGGAATGAAATATTTTATGGTGTAAAAGAATTGACACCCTCACTGCATTATGGTTAAAAGTTTAAACCCATTTAGCCAACATTTATTTTGGAAATGTACACTTTTTATGGAAATCTCGGTTGAATTGAGATATCGAAAACAAGGCCATGATGTGACGTCAAAACCCTAATACTGAAACAAGATTATTCCAGGCAGAGATGAATGATACATGATTTCTGACAGTGTGAATTAGCGCGAGATCACAGTTGAAAGAATTAATATATCAGTTGCCTCAGTCTCCGTCGGGCGTTTGGTATTTTCTTTTAACTATGGCGAGATGAGGTTTCTACGTCATAAGAGGGTCCGTTTTCAGAAGGTACTATCATTTATGTCCAAAAATAAAACATTCCAGTTAATTTTTCGATCGAATTATGTCGTCAATCATTATTTATGTATAAAAGGATCATTATAAACATGGTTTGAGTTAAAAGTTCTACTAAGGTGTACACGCCCATTATTACCCCCAATATTGAAAACCGAAAAAAAAAAAAAAGATTTCCATCTTACTGTCAAAAGTGATGGACAATGTTTCATCACGGATAATTATGGAAACCGCATTTTTGCATTATTACCCCTCACCAAATGGGGGGTGCAGATGAAAAAAAACTCGGTGGATTTCGCTGAATTTTTGATATGATGTAGTCCATATGATTTTGATCAGAAAATCATCGGGTGACAATCCTATAAAATGGATAGTTTTTCTGCTATAAGGGGTTTCAATTCACATTTTGAACAAAATAGACCACCATCTGATTCTAAATAGAAAGACAACTTTTTTCAATATTTGATTCCTATTCCTTAATAATTTTTCATTCGGAAAAAATATCCGCGTTACTGTTAGAAGCATAAGAAAATGTTTAATCACGAGAAATGTGAATTCCCTTCCCCTCCCCCACCCATTTGCTAGGGGGCAATCATGCGAGAGAGCTTTTTCCATATAATTTCTGGCGATTAAACATTTTCTTATGCTTCTCACAGTAGCACGGATTTTTTTAGCTGGTTGGGGGGTAAGAACCCTCCCAATATTTCCGAATGGAAAATCATCAAGAAATAGGAATAAAATATCGAAAAAAATTGTCTTTATTCAGAATCAAATGGTTGTCCATTTTGTTCAAAATGTGAATTGAAACCCCCTATAGCAGAAAAACTGTCCATTTTTCAGGATTGTCACCCAATGATTTTCCGATCAGAATCATATGGACTACATCATATCAAAAATTCAGCTGAATTCACCGAATCTTTTTTTTTGCACCCCCCATTTGATGGGGGTAATAATGCAAAAATGCAGTTTCCATATTTATCCCTGATGAAACATTTCCTATCACTTTTGACAGTAAGATGGAAATCTTTTATTTTTCGATTTTCAAAATAGGGGTTGGGGGTAATAATTACCCCCATTATATTTTTTTATGAAGAAACTATTTTTAGAAGTAATTAAATGGAATAAAAAACTGGAATATCGTTCATTTCCTCAGAAATAAATAGTCATTTTGATCAAAATGTGAATTCAAACCCCCTGGCAAAAAAACTGTCCATTTTTGGGGGTTGGCTTGAGGACAATATTTTATAGAACCACATGAACTACATCATACCAAAAATTGAGAAAAATCCACCAGGACCCAATTTGCCATAAAAATTTGCGGGGTCCTTTCCATACATCCAATTGGAGTTGCTTTGACTTGCAAGCATTCAGAATAGAAAGAAAAAAATGGGACTTTAATATCTGAGTTTATTTCTGGGTTTCCTGTATTAAGTTAGGTTATAATTTCCGTCAGGTTTGCATGTTTTGTTTTTGAGGGTTGGTTTGGTGTTGGTATTTTCTTCAACAAGATGACTCAGTGGAATCAACCTTTTTAGTGCAGTATCTCATGATGATGATAAATTAATAGTAAAAAACCATAAAAAACAAAGGCCCATCACCGAAATTGAAAAAACAAATTGTCAGAAGTAACACTGGACATTCTGGATTCAGAAGGCTATTACCAAAATTTTATGAGAACATAAATATTGATCAGCATCAATGATAATCTCAATTAAAGAAACTCTAAACTAATCACCTTTGTTTCTGAAGCTTTGGGACTACCTTTAGGACAAACTTCAAAATGATCTTCCATTAATTTGTTGGCAATCTTGTCAATTCTCAGACTGTTTGAAATCATCATAAACAAAAGTATGTTTATGAAATTAAGTTTTTTCACTAATGGATATTTTCCAGTGATATTTTCCCATACTATTAGCTTTTTGCAATTATGTAGTAGCCTAGATTTTTTAGTGATTCTTTCTGCTAAGAAAATTACAACCAGAATCTAGTCTAAAGTCTCTGTTAGTTGTTCATTGAAAAACTCATTCTGATTTGCCATGTTTTCCTTATTACTCCATTACACTGTACTTATAGCAGCTTGAAAACTCATGTACAAGCATTTTGTTTTGTGGATCTGATTATGTGAAATGATGGAAAACATTGGCTCATGGATTATACCTTCTACACTATTATTGGCATGGCATTAAGGTGGATTCATGCAACATCAACTAAATTATAATGAATTTAAGATTTAAACGAATTTTAAATTAAAAATATATGGGTGGTCATGCAATCACCTTTCATCAGCTGTTTATTCTTTTCCCAGCGCGGCTAGTTATTATTTGGCGCATGCGTTGTCGTGAATTATGGAAGAAATTAATTTCTTAGTTGAATGTTGGCCATCTTTCTTAGTTTTAATTTTAGTTTTAATTCTTTAGTTTCTTGCATGAGCACCTACATTACATTTCATAGTTTTATATTATTGGTTCAAGTTTAAAATTCATTTAAATTTTAAATTTTGCTTGCATGAATCCCTTTATAAAACTTCTCTATCATCATTAATCATCTTTATGCTGGGTTTATAGATTAAACTAAACTAAGAATTAAACTAACAACTATGAACTTGAAAAGTTGAATACAAGAAAGGATCTTTGAGGGTTTATACATTTACATCTGCCATTTAAGTTAAAAATTACAAAGTTGGCCAACTCTCAACTTAACAACTAAGAATTAGTAAATTCTGGAGACAGAACATGACGATTGAATTTGTTATTGTTCAAGTAGAGTTTAGTGATATTTAATTGGAATGTTTTTTATGGATTCATGAGTTGTGGAGATCAAAATCACATTTTAACATCATTTTGATCTTTAATCAAAAGACATTTCACATTTAATTCTAAATTTATATCAGATATGTATAAAAACCCTCATGATTATTAATTGTTAATTCCTAATTGTTAATTCCTAATTGTTAGTTCAATTGAATCTATAAACCCAGTACTCATAATAATTACTGTTTTGGTCACCAACAGACAAGGATAATAATTATTGTCATGGTAATTGTCCTATTTATTCCTGATTTGATAATAATTTTCAGTAAAAGTTACAATTGTTCGAATATTAGGAATTCTAAGTATATAGTAATAATGATAATAATTTATTAACAACTATAAATATGCATAATACTTTTCATGAATCACATGATTAATATTAGTTGCAAAAAGGGGTTGAAAACAATTAAAATTGATTCTAGTTCAACCCCTGAGATTATAAAAATTAAAAAAATAAAATATTTCCACAATGTTAATGTTATCAAGTTGGCTGTTGAAGATTGAAAATCAGTTAATACTATATGTATATAGTTCAGGATTTCATGAGGAGATTCTTGTATGATTTTTTATTAGTATCTGGTTTCAAAGATTTCATTTCATATGGCAGTTCATTAAATAATTCAAATACATTATAAGTGAATGATGGTTGAAAAAACTGTGTTTGATGAGGTGGAGGGGGAAATATAACTTACATAAATAAGGAGGGCATTTAGTGAATATAATATTATGGAATTAAGTCACTGCATGGATTTTATGTCTTTCTTCCATGCTCAACCACTGGGTTTCTTTCATTTTGAAGGAGATACTTCCATATTTGCTCATGCCATAGATGAATCTCAAGCACATGATTTTTGAACTTTCTGAATTCTTTCACTATCTTTCTTATCAATACATGGTCCATATACAGGATAGCAGTAGATAGAGTGGCTTAATCCAAACTAAATATTATATTTAAATATTTTACCTCTCATATAGGTTTCTGGTACAAATTTCATATCTGTGAATCCAAGTATTTCAAAACACCTAGGATTTTCTATTTTGAACATTTCTTTGTCACCCATTTGGACAAACCTCCCATGCCTAGATATTCCTCTGACAATCTCTTCCTGGGCCACTTCCACAGTTTGATCTTCAACAAGTACAGGTTTCATGCTTCTGGGGGCATTAGAGCTCAATCTGAGAGCTTGGTCCTTTCTGAAGACTCTCACAGTGACAGCAGGTATTTCCAGTTGTGTACCAAAGCTAATAGGCACTTTCCATGGTTGTGTTCCACGGGATTTTTTGAAGGAAAGGAGTAAATTGATGCCAACATTTATGTCACACAGCACACTGTTTTTTGTTTCCTGTACTATCTTCTGTGCAGCTACTAGTGATGGGTTTGTTTTATCCTAGAATAGATAACACATAATACACAATCTAAATAGTTTCTTGATCAGTCCTAATACTATTAGAGGCACACTCAAATATTATGAAAATAGGTTCTCAGCTCTGTCCATTTGAATTCCTGTATTATGTTTTGTAATACTAATACACTGGATAAATGGTTCTCAGTAATATTTCTCTAAGAAAATAGTCATGCTTCTGCATCTAGCAGAACAAAAACCATCTAAATGTGCTGCTATTACTTACAACAATTAACTTCTTCATACAATGTTTAACAGCTTCTGGTTGTGTAATGGTGCAAGGCATCTTTACTTCAGGGCCAATAATGTATACAAAAATATTAGTTTCATTCAGTTCATTTATAACTTTCTGCAGCTTTATGTCATCTATTAGTTTACTGCTCTTTTCCAAAGATGTGAAGAATACAAGTTGTAAAGAAGTAGTTCCAGGCAGGTCATTAGCTTGCTTTAAATGAAAAATTGACAATAAAAAAGCATCAAGCCAGTCTCCTTCTGCTGATTCAGCTTCTTCAATGCAATTCAAAATATCCTGAGGTACAAAATCATCAACATCAGTTTTAAACAAATTTGGGTAGTTTTTTTCATTCTCCGTTTTCTTGGAGTTAACTAAAATCAGCCTATACATATCTCTGGAACCAGAAAACCATTTTAAACTGGCAAATTTGATAAGGCCAGACAAGAGTTTTTCCTTTTGGGGAGATTTCAGGTCAAACAATATCAGACCACAATCATTTTTTTTTGTAGGAGGCATTCTGCAAATTCAATGGATACCTGAAACGAAAATTCAATATGACTAATTGCTAGAACATTTTCAAAAGTACTTACCGTATTATAACAATTTAAAAGTTTTTTTTATAAATTATTTTCGGTTTTCAAGTTTTTAACCAAAAATCTACACTTTCCAACACCCGGTTAAAAATTGAAAACAAAACAAACAAAAACAAAAATGGTTGGAAATCATAAAACGACAATATCATAGAATCTCAGAACCACGATCTCAGAACTAGCTCAGAACCATTCATTCTCATTGTCTCCTTCCGTTTTCATGCTCTCACTGTATATTTTTGCATGTAGTGAACATAGATGGTGACTTGCTAAAGTTGATTTTGTTTCCTCCCATAGTTGTCCCTTTTCATGGCATTATGTAAACAGAGAAAGTCATAGAAAAAAATCGAGTTTAGCAGGTAAACACTATGCATACACAAACGAACAGGCCTTGTATAAATTCTTTAATGTTGGCACTTGACAGTTGACACATGATTCAAAAGGTTTACCGTTTGTCCTGTGACTGTGTAATTCTTCAAATTACAGGGTGATCTTTAACTCTTCAGTATTTCATAATTCATTCTCAAATTCTGATATGATAAAACAATCTCATATTCATGAACATAATACAAGAAAATGTCATCAGATTAGACTAAATCGATATCGTCTTCAATTATCCCAAAAAAATACCCTAGATTTTTCTATGTAGGTATAATATTTTGCCACAAGATCTCAGAGAAACAACTTAAAAAGTATCTATTGAGCACGACTATTGAGACACTGCTTCTACTCAGTCGATGACTTCAGAGAGCATTTTCGCATTCACAAACAACTCACATCTCCGTAGCTGTCCAAATTTGGTTTGTTTGTTGTCTTTCATTTAGTGTGTTCATTACTTGTGTATTGACTTTTTTTCTCTTATGGAACATTTTAATATTGTGATTTTAGATTTGTAAACTTGTAATTTGTTAACTTCCATATTCTTTTTATTTTTAATATGTGAGCTTAACAATATAACACTACTTGTATCTGACCTGCTACAAACATAGATTTTTTTTGTGTAACGTGGTTAAATAAAATTCTATCTACCTATCTATCTATCGATATTGAGCTCAAAATATATTGAAAATATTTTTGATTTTGATCAACATAATTTTGAATTGGTGCATATTTAAGGGTATTATCACAAATTTTTTGATTTCAACATTTGGAATTCCAAGAATATATCCTAAATATCATGGTGCTGCATTTGAAACTGATTCGAATACTTACTGGTGGAACCAGTATAAATTTATGGAGGATTAGGAATGGAGCCAATGCAGAGCACATAGGTATTTGTCAGAAACGTCTCAGGCATGCTCCACAGAAAGAGATATGTAGAGTCATATTATAGTCATCACTGTGATCAGTGTGATCTCACAGGAGCATATCTTATTCAAGTCTGATGTTGCGTCACTGATATAAGACTCTGTGATTTAATTTGAGCCGGACATTCATCTATGCTATATCTCTGTGAAGAAACATTTGAAATGCAGCTGTTGCATGTTTTGGTCAACTGGGATACTATCTGTAGTTCAGAATCAGAGATTTCCCATTCTCAATCACCCCGTATATACAGAAGGTAAATATCCTTTCAGCGTAAAAATGGAGACTCATTTTTCTCAAAAATTGAACCTATCAGCCTAATATACAGGGTGACAAGTGACATTGAAATTGATACAAATCAAACCCTAATAAATAATTTCGACGAATACTATTGAATCGTACCCATATAAAAAATATAGAAATAAAAAAAAATCCAGGGTAAGACTCTTCTTCCATTGTACCAATTCTGACGTCACCTCTACAAATTTTCGTGCAGAAGGAACATTAATTCACGCGAAGTTCAATCATTCAAATTGCTTTGAGATGGCGTATTTGTTTGTATTAGATCAAATTTCTCGTTAATTAGTAGAATTTGCAAAAATCTGATGTCATGGAAATATATCCGTTAACCTATATTTTATTGAATTGCTGAGTATATGAACTCATTTCAAAAATACCTCGTATAGATAAAACAATGAAAGAAAATATCCTCTGATTTCTCACTCCACTCCGTATACCTACTATCGGTATCGGAATTAGTCAGACTGGTTTGGGAATTAATCGGTTGAAAGAATATTACATACCTAATTAGTCATTTGAATGATGAATCAAACCAATCACCAATCAGCAGTTTCGTTCTAGACTTCATTCATCGCCTAAGGTCAAATCAAAAGTATATGATAATAAAAGAAGAAGTATTTAAGGAAATTGTAATTCATATTTGGCTTAGTGAATGTATTATTTGAATGTGTGAAAGTTGTATTGTTTCAGATGGTAAGTGTTTCTGTATAATATTATATATGGAGGCATTCATCAGGTGGTTGGTATTTTGTCTCGGTATATTTCCATAGGTGCGTTCGGTTTAACAAAATCGGAGCCGAGCGAGCAGATGCAGATTTGGTGTCACGTGATCACCTAGCAGTTAGAGCTAATGGTATTTAACGAACGCTCAACGAGGTAGTAGATTGCGAGCGCCAGCTGTCAGAAGTAACAGAAAACAGAAAAAATTCACTTAACCTTATTACTTTTAAAAACACGTCAGGGCAACAAAGTTCTTTTGAATGTTTGTTGTTCATATTTTGAAAATTACTAGGGAAGGAATGATTCTGTCTCATATGATCGGTCATTAACTGTGGATCCAGGGCAGTTGTGATCGCATATATCACAGATATATAATTAATATGCTACCTACAGCAAATTCGTCGGTCATTCTGGCGATTCTGGGCAAGGAGGATTCTACAAAATTCAGTTTCGTGTTTCGTTTCCAGTTGATCGAGTCTTCAATTTTTCGACATAAAAGAGATATAATTTCAATAACATGTTGTTGACATTGATTTGTTGACAATTGACAACCGAATAACCGATCAAATCTGAATGATCTGCTCCTCAAGGCGGAGCAAACAGATTACATCTTTCAGCTCGCTCTGACAATTAACGAACACGGAGCAGATTAGACAGAGGAAGTAGATCTGATTTATCGAACGCTTTCCGAGCTAACAGATGGAATCGGAGCTAACAGATATGTTATAACCGAACGCACCTCATATAACGATATGAAAATTTTGAAATTCGCTTTACTTATTTATACAGAGGATCTAGATGCATATTAATGCAACAAGTTGCGAACATATTCGCCATTTTGTTATGCGAGTTAACACAAATATTTTAAAATTTCATATTCATTTAGGATGGAATAATTCGCTTTAACTTATACAGAGGTACATAAATAGGTATTGAAATGAGTTGCAAAAACATTTGCCATTTTGTAGAGACTTATTTATAGGTATATGAAACTATTCAAAATTTGGTATACCATTCTTCAACATATGAAATTTAATGGAATCGTATCGGAATTCAGAATGCTACTTCGGTACAGTAAGTATGTTCGAAAGCCCTTTTATGCTTCATAAACTTTTTTGTGGTGCGTCAGTGGTAAATATTGAAATACGAAATGGGTTTTTTGTCTCTTGTAATTTTTACGCATCTGCGACCATTATCGAGAAAAAAAAAATTGTTATTCAATGGTCGTGGCTAAGTTTGTCTATGAGCTGAAATTCGCTAGATAGCTGTTTCACGATGTGAGGGGACTCTCGATTCGAATCCGGTTTGGCTGAACATTTTTCTCAAAAATGTGTGTGATTCATGGTCGTAATCCTGGCGGCACCTCGACCCAGCGAGCACAAAAACATCTCAAAGATGTTAAAAGTACGAGATGTCGAGACATCAATTGAACCATTGTCGATCTAAATGAAAACCTAGTAGGCGACCTAGTACGCGAGGAGAGCTCTTGCCTACTAACTACCTAACTAGGTTGTCATCTAGAACGACAATGATTGAACCTCCACTGCAATGTCCTGTCACACATGAATAAAACTTTCAAAGGAACAGCAAATGTCCGCCGCAGGCGGCGTTTATAAAGATATCCTTGGGATGTCACAAAAATACCTTTCCCCTGTTTTTTTATAGCCTTCTCATGGACGCAACATAACCTTTCTAAAGCGGTTTACGCACATTTAATCCCTGCAAATAAACCATTCCTGGTGGGCAAAAAGAAGAAAATCAAAAAAGAGCTTTCCACGCTAGTATCATAGCTTTTGTCATCTATCACTATTAGGGAGCCAAAGGAAATATTAACTTGAGTGAATAAATATAAGAAGGAAAAAAACATAGGCATGTTGCTCGATAATGTAATTCAGAACAGTATAAAATATTTGGCGTTGAGGTGCTATTACCAATATGAAGGTAATACAGAGTACAAGATGTTCAAAGTATCAAAGTTGATGCAATAGCAGAACATATGATAAAAACCTATCATCGCTATGTTTCATATAAAAATTACCATTGACAAATAAATAATAAATTACAAGCCCCAAAAAACAAGAAGGAAATTACATTAGTTTCAAAGAATGAAGAGCAGATTCCAGTCGAGTCAACTCCACACTAGTTTGGCCGAGTTTGTCTTCATTCACCTTCCGTACCTCCAGCGGTACTTTGCTCTCATAGTCTGGCGCATTTATTGCTTTGCTGAGCTTCTCCTTCGTTCCTTGCAAAAAGTCCAACTTTTTCTGTATTTTCGCGATTTCCTTGATGGGATCTATAAGGCCTTTGAGTAACAAATTGACCTCGCATTTGTCCGATATGGTTATGATAGTGCAACCGTCTGGTGCTTGTTCATTCACTGGCGTCTTCGAACAGTAAGCTAGAGTTTGCAGCACCGAACTATAGTTGAGGACCGTTTCGGCAGTTTCTTCATCGTTGCATTGAAGATAAGCTGTCATGAAAGAAGTTGAGTGATCAGTTACATTTTCTACTCAAAGATTACGCCTTCGCCGTCATTGACCTGAATACTACTGATTGTAATGATAGTAGAATGTCATCCTACAAGTAGTGATATTACTACAAATAAGTGATATTATTTTGCCAGGAATATTCAGCTATTGTTATGACAGAGATGTATAGAAATTTAACTGGTGCGCTTGCTCCCTCTTGAAGGTCGTTTGCAAGTTTCTCGATGGCGCCTACTCTGATAAACCTTTGATAAACATACTTGACGTGGGTAAATCTCAAGGTCTATTAACTTCTATAAGGTTACCTCATAGTATAGCATTATGGTGCGGGGGTGCGCGGAGGGGCGTGACGTCACTGTTTCCCCGCCACGTGATTGTAGATTTCGTTTTGTGTCACTGTCAAATGGATTGAAAAAATTTTTGAATTTGAATTCGAAAGAATCGCGAATTTTACACTTTAGTTGAAAACATGCGGTGACAAGGAGACTGAAGATATCTTTGAAAGAGGGTGAGAGGTTGTATAATAATATGGTGTAGTATTATTCAAGGCTGGTCACATCATAATATTATCATGTGTGGAGTCAAGAGTGGATATAGAACAAACAAATGTTATAAAATGCCTGTGTTTACAATCATCTGCTCTTGGGCAGCCTCCACATGAGATTTAGATAATTCCAAAGGAAAATGATGAGCTGTGGCAATGGGAATGTCCCTGTGAAGCAGGCATGTCATGGTTTTGTAAACACATTTTATATGGACTTATATTGACAGGTAGGAAGGTGCACTTTTGATCTATCACACACACAGGTGAAAAATACATGAAATTTCAGGAATGAAGACTTGGAATATGTGAAGCTGCATATATAACACACAGAAGTGGTGAAAATAAAAAAAGAGAGTAGATCAATCAATGAACTATTATACAGCAAAACCATTTCAATAGTTCTGCTTATTAAAAGAAGGAAAGTGACCCCCTAAAATCATCCTTCTTTTATATAATTCAAGTTAATTTTACAGGGTATATCAGTCTATTTCGTTTTTTGTTTGGATGGATGCATGGTACTCAGGAACACTGGTGAGTTTATTAAATTTTAACATACCATATCATGAAAACTCTATACTTACATTAATTTTGGGCTATACTTGCTACTTCATTTTTACATGTAGCAAGGAGTCTTGGGACAAAGGGCAATCAACTTCTTCTTTCCAAATGATTTTTCAAATAAATTTTGAAAGCTCTTTCAAAATGTTCATTGAAAATGATATTGAATTTCAAATCATGCAAACAAATTTGTGTCCCAATATTTTCCATGGTTAGGATTTTCTCCATATGAAATTATTTTTCAGGAAGGAAGACCATGGAAATAATTTTAAAATGTGTCCTTACTGAGGTCCTTACATAGAGGTTTGTTAAATAATGTGTATAACATTCAGCTTGAATTATTTTCTCAAAATTTTAGGTAAAGGTTCAGAACATTTTGTGGAACAATGCCATTTCTTGATAGGAGATGGTATAAAAAATGTGTAGTTGGAAGAGAGACACACTCATTATGGATAAATTCAGTTGGGAATAATGGGCCTAAAATGTCCCTAATGAACTTGAAATAAACTAATTTTCTTGTATAATTCTTCTTCCTCCAAAACTTACATAGAGATTCCAGTTAATTTTATGAAACATTATGTGTTAATCTTATGAGGAAGATATCTTAAAGATATTTCCATTATGTTGCACTTTTATTGCATTAATAAAATGGAATGCATTGTGATGACTTCTTTATTGATTCATTTTCAAACAATAATATGTTCCAAATTGTTACTGAAATAAAACCATTGAGTTAGTATCATTCAATTTATCCAGAAGGAAATCCTCTTTAGTTAATTGTTTCTTGTTTCTCAGAATTGATGGCCTAATCAATTTCAAGATATTTCTTCACATCCCTTGTCAGCATGCCCTTATCCACCATGATTCCATCATTAGGTTCAGACTTCCCAATAACATTTTCTTTATTAAAAAATGCTTTATCAGTAGCTCAACCTCCATATCCTTAAATGCCAACAGTAATCAGTCCTAATGGAGTGATATTGCAATAAGAATTTGACTGAGTTTCTGTAATGTGTCTGTACAACAGGAGCACTGAGGAACATAACATATCTTTCTAGATTTCTGTTTTCAGTCTTTTGTACTTGCTGCATGTTCTGGGAAAACAGTGAACTATCTCGTGGATACAAAAACATATTGGAAAACTTCAAAATTTATCAAAATTCACTGGATTGCACAATGCTAAATTTGTTTGTTTTGTTTATCACCTCCGCCATTTTCATTTTGCCGTTCGACAAAAGACGACTGGGGAAACAGTGACGTCAGGCCAGGTGAATATGAGGCAACCTTATAGAGTTAAATAGCCTTGGGTAAAATCTCGCTAAGCTCATCCTGGTTACAATCCATATTTACAGGAAACATATTACCGACCGATAAATATTTGGATACTTATATGATTTGGATCAGAGCAGTGAACTGATTCCTGATCAAAGGATCGAAACGTCAATATGTCTAAAATATTCTTGAGCTCAAAAAATGGTTATTTCTGAAATTTTGTGTATGATACCTAATCCACCATCTCCAAAATCTCTGTTCTACAACAGTATTATTTCAGTGATTTGAAATATTAGCGTGAACTTGTGTGAATAAATTCTTAGGTGAGTACCAGTTACCATATCTGCTTATTATGATTTTCGATATTGGTCTATTTCAATAGTTGATACATTCTTTGTTCTGGTTCTTCAAAGAGAAAATTCATCAGATTTAAATAGGTTCATGTCATGAAAGAAGTGAAGCTTATTGAAATCGGCTACAAAAATGTTGAGCACAGTATTTATTCGACCACAGAACAATGATGGAAATAGATTCATCCCTCACAGAACCAAGGTTTTGAACGATTTTCCGATTATGGCGCCTCTATCGCAAATACCTGATCCCCACGTCCAAAACTCGCTTGCAATTGTTCCATATCGAGAGTTAGTCTGACGAAACAATTGAAGAGTGAGCCCACCAGTTAAATTTCTATACATCTCTGTTATGACAGTTTGTTGCTTTGTAATATCGCAAATAAATTTCACACCTAACATTTTCTACTAATTAAAAGCCTGTATTTTGTATCGTTACCATAGCAACTAAACAAATTTCTGTGCATTTTTTTCCTCCTCCTTGAAGGAAAGAGCATAAAATTACACTGCAAATTTTTGATGGTTATAGGAAAAATGACATTCACATTTATCTTCAGATTATTTAAATGAATATATGAAAAACTGAAAGATTAGGCCTAATGATATTAGGTGGGCGAGTATCATTAATATTGGTGAAAGACGAACAAAATAACACCAAGTGTTGCATATCTTCTGCACTTTTTCCACCGTCCTGAAGAGGGCCGAAAGCCCGAAACACGTGTCTGCGTAAAATTTTTCGATACTGGAAAGGACCATTGCTTGAATAATACAGATCTACGGCGGCAAAGGTATAATCATTCCAACTTTAAGAACAAATTCAAATGAACATCTGGGTATACCTGGTTCAGCATAAAAATAAGTTTTAACAAACGAAAAAGAAAAAAAAAACTATAAAAGCCCCAGTCTCATCATGAAGATCCCTCAAACAAACCATCCTATCGAACGAAAAGTGGTTGTGATGTATGTACAATAGTTTATTCTTGTCTTGTTACCCAATTCAAGTTTACATTTGATCTACTAATATACTGTGATTATTTTTTTTGGAAAGGAAAGGCTTTGTTTAATAGCTTTTTTTTTCACCCCATACCTATGAAATTTTCCATTTTAAATCCGAACTTCTGTTTAGTTTCAAGTTGAACTCACCCTCGGTCTTCGTTTTATTCGGCAAATTATAGTCGCTCCTGGCCGACCTGATGCTCTTCGCTATTTTCTGTACGAACTCCACTTCATCCTCGATATCCTCGTTCTTCCACCGACACTCTTTCGCATCGGGATAAGCAGCCACGCCGATGCTGGGCGCTCGTTCGGCCGCCTCGCTGGGCCTCGGCAGCCGCTGGTACAGCTCCTCGGTGATGAAGGGCATGAAGGGCGACAACAGGCGCAGCCCGACCTCTAGGGCCCTGTACAGGGTGGTGCGGGCAGTGTCTTTGGCTTCCTCGTCGTCGCCCATGAATACCGGCTTCAGGCATTCCTACATGAAACTTTCTGTGATAATTTGCCTCTTTTTGCTGTTTGGCAAGTGAGCTTATTTGTTTATTTCTAAAATAGCATCAGCAGTCAACTACCTTTCAATACTTCCATACTTTTTTTTTTTAGATTTTTTTCGGTCGATTTGAAGGTTCTAAAATCATCAATTATGCCACGGTAATTTTCAAACGGCTGGATATTTACCGAAAATGAGAACTGAAGTCATGAATTCGTAAGTAAGGGCAGACAATTCCACAGTTGCCATAAGATGAAATACAATTGGGAGCTTTAGAAAAATTATTTATTCAATAATTGAATATGAAAACTAACTCGACACATGTTCAAAAAAATATACTCTTTACTGTGATACAAATTTATAATAAGCTACCAAAATCGCTCATATTATTGCCTCAAAAAAAACTCAAACTGAAAGATATTCTTATATCAAAAGCATATTATACAATAGAAGAGTATTTCTCTGACAGTTGGCAACTATTCGCGGGAATCACTGTTACCAGGTGGCGCTCGGTTTTCATCGTTCCATGTCAAAGCCACGTCAAAACTGGGGGAAAACAAACTCAATCCTGACTCAATCCCATTAGTCCCATTAGCTTGTGTACTGTGTACTGATAAGAGTGATAACACTTTATGTCAGTGACAAGCTTAGATCATGTGACAAGTTTGACAACTACAGCTACAGCAAGATGTATGCAATATAGGCTATATTCCGAATTCAACTGGTCAGTACTGTCAGTAGATCCACTGAATCTGCTGAAAATCTGTGTTCCGAAATATAAAATCAAAAATACAGTGCTGTAATTCGGGACACGTTTTCATGATTTTCATCAGTAGTCAGCAGTTTATCTGGACTAGATATTTAGTATTTGATATATTCAACATGAAAGAGCAATCGATTTTTGTAGCCTCCATAGTTTCTAAGATTATTGACTATGACGATTCAAGTTCGAGTGATGAAGAGAATACTTGGACATTTTGTGCTATTTATTTTTCATGATGCACCAGATTGAGAATTGAAAGATTCATGGAAAACGTAATGATGATGAATTTAGGAGACATCCCAGGTTTATTTAGTAATTTATTAAGCCAATGCTGCTTTTTGTTTCGATACCTCTACTATACTTCATACTCCATATTATTCTCAGCTTATTAATTGAATAACAGCTATTTTCTGATATTGAGAATAATATCATTAACAACGGAAATAAATGTTGAGGGCGCCGTACATTATGCTATTTCTCAGCAAGTTTGAGGCAATGCAATTTTCTCGCAATTTTCTCAATTTATTGCAAGTCGCCGTACATTGAGATATTTCTGTCATATTTGCTTGTTCATATTCACTATTTTCAGGTTTTTTGAGCCTTCAATGTACTTTTTGAGGTAATTCGGTGTTGCAGGCCACGTTATGGAGAAAATTTGTATTTTACCAAGATGCTACGATGAATATTACTAGAAATTTTACTAAACTTGCCTTGAAATTGCAGAAAAAATAGAACTGGTTCTATTTCGAAACTTGCATGAAACTTGCCGTGGAATATCATAGACGCACGCCCATTGTTCGATTCAAAATTGCATTGCATCGAACTTGCTGGTAAATAGCATACTGTACGGCGCCCTTTACATTCCATCCCCCTCTGAAATAATGACAGTTCACTGAAGCCACACTACCTTTTGATACTCAGCAATTTCAGCAGAATGTTGAGTCGAAATATTTGGAATGGATAGTATGTCTGCTCACGAGCATCTGTCACTTTCAGTGAATTTTTTTATTACGGAATGAAAAATCAGCAGATTCAGTGCTGTCAGTTGAATTCGGAATATAGCCATAGTCTATGCACTTTATTCATAGACAACAGTTTGTTTTCCCCCAGTCTGAAGTTCGTATTATGTAACCTAGATGTCGCCCACTTCGTGAATCTCGCGAATAGATTCAATTTTAATATATCTACATCATTTATGTGTTATTTTTATGTCTGTGAACTAAACTGATGTGCTACATACACTTTTGCAATATTTCTGTATTTAATTTGTACTATCATAATTTTTTGTTTGTTATTTTTTGTGTACCTATATATTATACATTGACAAGTTCTACGCATATTTTTAGGTTCTGATTTCAAAAAAAAAAAACAGATTATCTATCTATCTCTAATTCATAAATGTTCAATTATGTTTTGGTACTATTCTTAATGAGTTATAAAAAAATAAATTGTCTTAAAATGTTCCCTCTTTATTGCTTTTGATGAATTTGTGTTATAATGATTATATTAATTCACACTAGAGGACATTTGATCCGGTAAACGTGGCAACATGGCGCACTGATCATTCACGAATTCGTTTTGTCCAAACAGAGGTATAAGCGATTCTTATAGACCAATCAGAACAATCCAAGAAGCGCCTGCGTGTTGAGACCTGGCTAGAAACAGGGTGAAACAAATAATCCATGTGCCGGCAACTGTTTGTGCGGAGTTGTGCCAACAACATTGGGTTTTCTCAATTCAGAATTTCTTTCCACGATCTGTATGATGATTCATTTTAGTGATGTAAAGGGGAGAACATTCCCTTCGTGCTGTGGGGAACGTTCGCGAAAGTTCGCGCACGATAAAGCGTTTGTGCACGCATGACAGATCGTTCTTCAGCACGAACGATAATTTTCAGCACTATTCCGGCCAATCAGCGCGAAAGTCGAAGTCAAAATTCAACGCAGCACCTATTTAAAAAGTGGATCATCATCTTATGAAGCGTTAGTAAAATTTTGAGTATTTTCATCAATTTGAGAATTATGAGAATTTTGAGCATTTTCAGAAATAAAAGTGAGTTCTTGAATACTTTACTACACCCCAAACATAAATTCTCGACTTTTTTCGTTTATGCTCGTTCCTGCTCGGGGAACGTTCTCCAAAAATACTTTCTCGAGAATTTTATATCACATGATGAAGATCAATTCATTATACATGATAAATACATTTTTTCTTCATTCTATCATTTTCAACATTTCAATGATTCATTTTTAAATTTAAAATCGAGACTTTTACTCTGTTTTTTGTGTGGAAATCATATTGAATTTTATAAGTTATAATTGATGAAAGGTTTGCACGAAGCCATTTCAAATTTCATCAAGTATCTGTTAATTTCATTTGTAGTTTGAATAAACATTATTAATTCAACTAGGTATTGACAGCAGAAATAATAAACTAAAGGAAACATTTGCAACAAAGAAGTCAATTTTATTCATCAGGAGACGGTTTTGATTTTCTTTCTCTTGTGGAACAAAAGTGGCATGTCACATCAGAATCTACGCCACTGGTACCTCCGTTGTATCCGAAATATTTTAAATACTTGCTCATTATATTGTACAGCTGTATTCACAAAAAAAGCGTACAAGTATATTACAGACAGAAATCAACGTCATTGTTTCATTCTATTTGCGTAAAACGCGCTATCGGGAATGATTGCTTATCAAATGTTGACAGTAAAGTTGTCAGAGGTTCTCAAGAACACAAAGCATTGGCTGAGCCAGTTTTACACAACTAGAACGAGGATGCTGTAAACCTCTCTTTTTAACACTTGTACGCTTTTTTATTGAATACGACTGTATATTATCATTAATCACACCGTTTACTTGGAGTGTGAAGCATTATCCACAGATTATCTGTAAAAATTGATGGATGTTTTTTCATAAAGATTTTTTCTTCTTTTTCAAAGATATCATTGGTCTCCATTTTTTAAATATTCAATTATAATTTTATTCACCTACTCATCTAAATGGGGAATGAATAAATAAAAAGTTATAGCACTCACCAAATAAACATCACAAAGCTCATACAGCCACACATTATAGATGGCCGTAGTCACCAAAGGAAAATCATAGGAAGCAAAACCCCCATTGGCATCAGTAACAGCAGTCGCCAATCTGCTGAGCATCCACAAATCGATCAAACTCTCGTTTCCCACCAGCCTGTTATCCGAAGGCGCCTTGAAATCCCCACCCAAATAACTGAGAGCAAATCTAGTGGCATTCCAGATCTTGTTGCAGAAGAACCTGTACCCCTGCATATGGAACGCCGTTTTACTTTTCATTGTATCATTTCAACGGACATAATTTCAAATATTTAACAATTTATGCGTTAGATATAAAATGTTTCATGTATTTGAAAAGGCACTTGAAGACCACAGGAGAAAAAGTAAGTTTCGATAAAAACGCATTTCAAAGTTTAAGACCTCCTTGCTTTTTGGAAGTTGAAGGAAACTGAAATCAAACCACCTGGATTCATTTGATGGAGTATAATGAGCAATAAAGTTGAACAACTAGAAATAAAAATCATATTTGAATGGAAAAATCATCGAAAACAAAAAATAAGTCAAGGGAATAATTGGAAAACCTGGCAAAATCAAGAAAAGTCAGCCTCATGTGGGTCCCGGGACATTCGGGAATACCCGGAAACGAGGAGGCAGACAGACTGGCAAAGATCGGTTCAGGACGGACCTCGGTCGGACCGGAACCAATCTTGGGAATACCAAATAGCCTAGCAATGTCCTCTATAGAGGAACAGCTGCAAAAGCAATTCCTCAAAATATGGCAGGACACACCAGGAATGAGACAATCGAAGCTCCACATAAAGGAACCTTCGAAGAGGCTCGCAAAAGTGGTTTTATTCCTAAACAGGCGAAACCTTGAAATGGTAGTGGGGCTCCTAGTGGGGCACAACCACCTCAATAGGCACCTAGAGCTTATTGGGATCAAGGATGACCCCCTTTGCAGATGGTGCCTAGAAGATGACGAAACGTCATCACATGTCCTCACTGAGTGTTCAGCACTGAGGCATCAGAGGAGGGCTGTCCTTGGCAACATAATTTTGAGGCCAGAGGACGTAAAAGAGATTCAGCTGAGGAAGCTGCTGAACTTCTCCAAGGCAGTCGGCATACCCAGCTGAATGTCGTAACATATGGGCGCACAATGGGCCCGAATCAGGAGGCCCACGTGCAGGGGGTTCACCCGCCCACCAGTGCTTCGAAGAAGAAGAAGAAGGGAATGGCCAAATAAATTGTCGAAAAACTGGATTGTTTACTCGCAATTACCTGCTCTGGTACATTTCTTCATTCTTGCCTGACTACCTAATGAGCGGTAAGTTGTCATATAGTACAGCTAGCATCTCTATAATTTGATCATTTTCTATAAATTCTACGCGATATGAGTAGGAATCATCATGTAGCAATCTCATTATTTTATTTCCATCACTCAGACGTAAGACGTACTCGACAAGCCCAGTCAACACACCTTTTTGCCGTCAACCTCGAAATATGTCAAACAAATCTTTACCAAAACTCTTTTATACATAGAACGGCAAAGCTTTGGAATTTTCTGCCTAACATTTTCTTTGTCTTTAAAGCTTTAGTTTCTAGGGTTTTCAATGGCAAAGGTAATTTGTTCCATATTTTTTTTGAGTACTCAACGTTTTTTTGGATAGATGTACATCATGGTATGTCGGTCGTCAGTATGCCTATTGTTCTTGTATTATAAGTATGGTCGGGTGTGCTGGCTTCAAATAGATCACTGTTATTTTTATGAACATTGTTGCTTCTACATACATACATATTGTAGTTAATATTTTGTTTTCAATAAAAATGTTTTTGCAATTATCTCTGTAATTTAAACGAAATATATTTCTGATACATCTCTTTTGCAGAATAAGAATTCGTTGAGAGTGGACTGAGTTTCTCCAGAAGATTATTCCATAGCTAATTCGTGACTGTACATAGGCATAATATGCCATTATTACAGTATATTTACTAATATTCGATGAAATAATTTTCAGGGCATAGCTATACTTTGATAAACTACTAGACGTTTGGGCAATTTGGTCATGTATAATAAAAAGTGAAACGGCGTTCCATACCTGCACGCGCAGAATGTCCAAGTTGATGTCCCTCCCTGAGCACATGGCGCACAGCGCGAACCTCAGGGCGTCCGTGCCGCACTCAGGGATGCCGTCCGGGTAGTCCTGCTTCTGCCCCAGCACGGCCTTCTCGACCTCCTTCGGGTCCAAGTTGCTGTCGAGCAGCTGCTTGTGGAGGTCCTCGAGGGCGATGCCGTGGATCACGTCCATGGGGTCCACCACGTTGCCCAGGGATTTGCTCATTTTGCGGCCGTGCGCGTCGCGGACGATGGGGTGCAGGTAGACTTCCCTGAGCGGGAATAATCAGGAGGGGCGAATTCAGAATTCGGGGCGGAAATTTGGTAAATGTGAAACATAATATCGTTTTTTTTCATCTCATAATGCAATATTATTCTATTCGATTTGAAAGATAATGTCAATTCTCATTTTCGGAGGATTTCGATTTTTCTTGCTATTTTTTTGGATATTCAACAGATATAATTCAATGTTCGACGTGGCAAATAGCCACGAAAGTAGTTGTTTTCTGTTGAATATTCAGAACGGTATTATATGGATATCTTTTTTTTTTTTTTTTTTTTTTTTTTTTTAAGGCTTTATTCAAATAGTTCACAATCTGATTATTTTCAATTTCGTACATACATGTTTCGGACACTATTTGAAAAACAATTCCAAATCAGCATGTAATGCTGGTCTCGGAACTTCTTAAGTCTACACTTTTTCATTTCATTGTTACTGCCCAATCTGATTTTCGTATATAGTGATGTTATTGTTAGAGATATGAAGGAGCATGCAAATTCTCTACTTCAGAAGATTTTGTTTTCAAATTCTTAGCGTGTGTTCAATAGATGTAATTCAAGGTTCGTCGTGGCATATAGCCAGGAAAGTAGTTGTTTTCTGTTGAATAAGCCGAGGCGCCAGGACGTGGAAAGAAATTCTGTCTATGAAGATAACAAGTTTCCATCTTTCAAGTTTGAAACCTTGATTGGGTGAAAGCATTGAAAAGGAATATTCTCAGATACATTCATGAACACAAAAAATGGATATACCGGGTGGCTACGGAAGTATTGCCTACGGAATATCTCAGTTATTGTATGAAGTAGGTTTGTGAAATTTGGAGCGTCGATATAATGACATAAGAACTAGAATTTGAGCATATTGACATGTCGAAGTTAACTTCCGGTCTGACCGGAAGTAACATCAACTTTCTTATTTCAAATAGAAACCCTTCTTTTTTTTCTCTTTTCGCTTTATTCAGCATTCAATTCCCTTTCTAATGACATATCACAAGTTGGTATCTAACCAGAAACTAGATCAGAAAAAAAATATTATTGAAATTCACCGAGTACGCCGTGGAAGCAAAATGAAAGCCAAAAATTGAAAAGTTGGCTATGGAAACCATACGTCACTTGATAACAGTTGCTACTACTGTGATATTTTATTTACATTCGTCGGCGTTATAAAAAGCCGCCAAAAAAATATTGGAAAAATTTGGAAAAAAAACAATACTCTGTAGATCCATAACTTAAATAGGAACATACAACTTTTTCTTGCCTGTACTATTCAGCATAACCATTCCTTTCTAATGATATAATAGAAAGTCATTTTTTGAAATGAAATACCAAAAAATCCAATTATTATTCTTCAAATAACAAAACAGATTATCGCCATACGCAAAAATAAAAATAATGATTTTTTGGTATTTCATTTCAAACAATGACTTTCTATTATATCATTAGAAAGGAATGGTTATGCTGAATAGTACAGGCAAGAAAAAGTTGTATGTTCCTATTTAAGTTATGGACTTTTCAATTTTTGGCTTTTATTTTGCTTCCACGGCCTACTCGGTGAATTTCAATAATAATTTTTTTCTGATCTAGTTTCTGGTTAGATACCAACTTGTGATATGTCATTAGAAAGTGAATTGAATGCTGAATAAAGCGAAAAAAAAATAGGGTTCCCATTTACTTCCGGTCAGACCGGAAGTTAACTTCGACATGTCAATATGCTCAAATTCTAGCTCTTATGTCATTATATCGACGCTCCAAATTTCACAAACCTACTTCATACAATAACTGAGATATTCCGTAGGCAATACTTCCGTAGCCACCCGGTATATCCATTTTTTGTGTTTATGAATGTATCTGAGAATATTCCTTTCCAATAGTTTCACCCAATCAAGGGTTTCAAACTTGAAAGATGGAAACTTGTTATCTTCATAGACAGAATTTCTTTCCACGTCCTGGCGCCAAGAATGACACCAAAAAAATGAGAAATGTACTTTTTTGGTAGTCCTTGTACTGCTAAAATACTATAGTACATTCCAATTAGGAATAAAGCGGATGGTGAGATAGGGACTGTTTGACATCGCATTTCATTGGTCTAAACGCTAGGCGAGTTATCATTAGCGATATTGTATACACCCTGAATGAAAGTGAATGCCTAGTCATTTCACGTATTTTCGGCAAACAGCGTAACAGTGTAACTTCCATTTTCAGCCGTTACTCTGTTTGCCGGAAGGTTGAGGAAGGAAAATATCGTTTCTGCATATGCATAAGAAAGGAGAATATGTTTCCGCCTAAATGAACCTTCTTCCTAGAAAGTTTATGTTTCAAAAAATTACTTGAGAGAACAGAAGAGATTACTGCTTCTAAACAACCTAAGCTGACTCGGCCTAAATGAACCTTCCGTTCGTCATTACAGGGAATGCCTGAAACTATTTGGCAAACGGTGTACGAAATTTAGAGTTACACTGTTTGCCGGCAATACGTGAAATGACTATAGGCATTCCAGAGAATGACGGATTTCCCTGTTTGACGCCGATATACATATGTCGGCTGTCTATGAACAGCCTAAGAAAATTAGAAAGTTGAGGTGGTTGACTATCATGCTCGATATATTATATGGTTCTACTGTGAGTGTCATCAATAAAGAGATCTAATTGCAATAATAACAGGACACGGATTGGAGTATCATTAGCATCCATAGTCAACCAGTTCACTAACCACACACATCAAGGAACTATAACCTCAGTTTACGACCACTAGACATAATCAAACACCAAGTTCTTAAATATGGTTTTCAATGATACGAGACATTTCAAATGGGGAAGTTTCCTATATTGAGGTTTTCATCTCACTGTGAAGTTTGTATTTTTTCATTTTTTCACGTCAGAAAAAAATGAATAAAAGAGGAACTTGGCTCCTCCACCATTCCTATGACGTACTTTCTGAAAATCCACATTCACACAGAGTTGAAATACGATTCCCTGTGCCAGTACGACGTTGCCGACATCATCAATATGTCTAGATTTCCGGAAATTGTTCTTTGAATGCATGATAACTATATCACAACAGCAACGGGATATAATAAGTTCTTAAATCCTACTTTGTCAAGTATTATGAATAATTCCCATAAATCTCTCATTGACTGAATGAAGTTGATTACTAATAAAGATAATTATGATATTTTACGATAGTACCTATAACTTTTTACTATCGGTATATCACAATATGTTATTCATAACTTGTCAGCCAATTTTTTTGCTAATGTATTCGTTCCTTAATAAAACGGATCTATTTTCTAGGAAAGTTGCAGATTATATCATGCAACAGCGCCTAATACCTCGAGTCCGTCCACACCACTCAAAATACTGACAGGCAAAACAAGAGAAAGGAGCCATGGGTGTCGGCTTCATTCTGTACTGACCCATGGCAGTAAATCAGGAAGGATAGTATCATTGAATGTAGCCGATAGTGATTCATTGATTCAATGATATTTTCGTTTAGGATCGAGGCTATTTCAATGTATAAATAACAACACCATAACCTGTCAGAATGAAGCCAACTACCCTCTGCGTTCCTGCTCCGAGTGCATGTGTGGTTATGTATGTTTTTGTTTACCAGTTTTACTTCTTCTATTTTTTTCATTCGTTAGCTATTCGCTAGCTATATTCTTCACCATCAGCTATTTTCAGACTAAATTCAGAATGTACGTCACAGTTTGCCGCCCCGAAAATCAGAAATTGTTTTAATTTGACAATGAAAACGACTTGGACTTAATCAGTCGCCATTCTGTACAGCGTGGACATAAAACATGTAGAGTTCCGAACTTATTTTATGAAAATTCATCTGAAGGAACCTCCCCCATTACTTGTGTCAAAAACTAGACTCACTTGAAAGGCAATTTCCCGAGCAATTTCTGACCCAAAAAGACCATCCTGGCCACCCAGAAGAACAAAATATCATGGCCAGTTTCGAGCAGAGACGTCGGATAGAAAGCCTTCAGGTCGTCGGTGTTTTCGGGCCAGCCGAAAATCGAAAACGGAAAGAGCGCGGAAGAGAACCAAGTGTCCAGCACGTCGCCATCTTGCTCTAACTCGAGGTCACTTTCTGCGACGTTGAATTTCTTCATCGCCTTTTGCACGGCTTCTTCTTTCGTTCTCCCGGACACCCAATATTCGTCATCTTCAGACTGTAATGGATATACAGTGGTTGTGATCATGACCGTCTTTACCATAAGGGCACAGGAGGGCCGTGCCTAGGGCCCCTCATCCTCAGGGAGGGTTTTTTCACACAAAAGCTTTTTTTGTCGAGAAATATCAACTGAGATACTGAATAAATGAAAAACTGTCAAGAAAGCCAAATATGAAATTCAGAAATGTATATGAACAGCCATATGAGGCGATTCATCTTACAGTGAAGTGAAGGCAATAGGACAGGACAAAATTCTTTGGTGGAGTCGACTGTAAGAATTTTGTCCTGTCGTATATGAACAGTTATGGTAAAGAGTCATGGGATAATTCACATCGGTAAATACTTTATCTAGAGTTGTTTTTTTGGCCATGAACTTTTCATTTTTACCCGTATATTTCTTTTCATTCCAAATTTGCAAATTTCTAGGATGTTTCAGATTATTAATTCCCAGATGTGAAGAGTATTTAGATGAATGTTGATATAGAATCCAAAAAGATCACCCTGTGTATGACCCTATTGAAAACACAAACTCAAATGGGGATTATCCCGTACGATTTCCAATAGGCAGTGCTGATCCTAAAGTGGCTCATGAAATTGAATGAACACCGCCTACACAGAACACCTCATTTAAAACACTTGTGAGTAATACATAGACACACACCGATGGGTAAATCACGTGGGAAGTCTAGTGTACCCGAGACGGGAATTCCTCGGGAAGTACGGGTTGTTTTTGGGAATTCCAGTAATTCCTTGGGAAGTCCAGGAATTCATTTGGTAGTGCGGGTATTCTTTGGGGAGTTCGGGAATTCCTTAGGAAGTCCGGGAATTCTTTGGGTAGTCCAGGTAGTTTTTGGGAATTCCGGGTATTCTTTAGGAAGTCCGGTAATTCTGTGGGTAGTCCCAGAAATTCCTAAGGTAGTCTCAGGTATTCCACGAATTCTTACGACAAAGGAAGTCTAGTGTACCCGAAATTGACCCGATAGACATATACACACATCAAAAAAGTACTTACTTATACTACTATCATAAGAGTTGTGATTCTGTCAAAAGGGTTAAAGAGACTTTTTGAACAGCTGTACTCACCCCAGGAGAAAGTTTCGCATGTGGTTTGCTTTTCACAGTGACAAAATATGCTGGGATTCTGTGTCCCCACCACAACTGTCTGGATATACACCAATCCCGTATACCTTCCATCCAATGATGCCAAGTTTTCACGTGCATCTCAGGAATAATTTTCAATTCACCAGAATCCACAGCTTTCACGGCATTTGCAGCCATATCTCCGCACTTGACATACCTAAATAACAAGTTTTATTTTCAAGTATTATTTCAATATTTAAAAACTTGCCATTGTGGTTTGAGCATAGGCTCCACAATATCTTTACTGCGGCTACAAACTGGTACGACCATAGGGTTGTTGGTAGTTTCAATAAAAAGACCCACGGCCTTCAGCTCCTCCAAAATTGCCTTCCTTGCATGGAACCTCTTCATTCCCTGGATATTTTATGGTGATTTTACGGTTTTATCGAAGGGGGGCAGTTTAATCAAAGGTAAATAAATAAGATACTTTTTTAATAGATAGATGCATGTTCAATTGTATGTAAGTTTAATTGTAGTAGTTGATGCAGAAAAAAATCGCTCAAGCAAGCTCTCGCGATTTTTTCACTCCATTTTATTACATGCAAACAATTTTCTCTCAGTTCCTTGCCCCCCCCCTAGTATACACTGAAATGACCCCCTTGCTTTATCAATTTTTGGGAAAGCTAGGTAGCATTTTATCATTACAAATGACGTAATTGTTGCAATCACCAGAATGTCAGATTTTGACATGAAAAAAATCATCAAAGGTTTTTTCCATTTTGAAGTACACTTTTCGAAAAAAATGTAGCACATGGTAGAACCACCGAACATAAACAGAGACTAGAAGGTTTACTTTCAGACGGAACTTTCATGTATCGCTCGCAAAAGCGGCGTCCGCCGGCAGCTGGTTTCAAGTCTTTACGAGGGTCACTTGAAATGCCATGCTCATATTGCAGTGAGAGGCTTCGCTACGGGGTTCAATGAAAATGTAATCTGAATAATACATAATTTTTTCAGAAGGTCCGTTTACGAGATATTTTGTATCAAGAATAAAACATTCATAATATAGTCATTATATTTCCATTATTTACAACTTATGAAGAAGAACAAGAACAATATGTGATATAAATAACGAACTATTTGCCGCCATAATTACGAAGGTGCCTGTCTCCATATTTATCAGGAGAGTGACTCAAAGAAAACTGAGTTGTTTATTTTGGGCATTATAATTGGCATTCACTATTTCATTATATTTCAATACAGATTTTCCCAATGGGGTAGATAAGTCAATGTAGAATAAAGTGGAACATACTATTGATATTCAATTGAAAAAAAAAACAAAATGCCTATTATTATTATTTGATTTCACGTATTTTGTTTCAATAGAATATTAAATAATTTAGGCCCTTTCCTAAAAGCAATAACAGTACCCACTTACAAAATAAATAGGTGTTTTTCAAGAAAAAGTAACATGGACAGATTTTTTCACAGAAATGGGGACCGTTTGACCTTTTTTGTAATAACAGAGACAAAATGTAACGTTTATACACAAGATATATTCCTAAAATTATTCAGATTTTGAACGAAAAAAAACTTTAATGAATGTTCTTACAAATTCTGCAATATATTCAATCTTATATTTGGCTCATCAACTTTTTTATTCTTGATATCACGGTAAGCGGATTTTATAGTATAATGAATACGAACTCTCATATAAAGGGATAGCAGATATTTCAATGGAAAATGTTCACATGGATGTGCAAATGGAATATTTTTGAATAAATTCCATCCCCCCGTTTATTGTGACAGCCTTCAACACAACACAACCCCATACTTATTAGTCAAAATAATGACAATAAACTAATGCTAAACTAATGCTAAGTAAGGTGTATTGGATTCCAACCGGTATACAAGTACACTGCGTTACCCAGAAGCCTTACGTGAAGACTATTGGTATATGCGAGAGAGCCCAGCAGTGCTGAGATCAGAGACGAGGCAGGAAGGGAAATTTTCGGGCGGAGCTTAGAGTGGTCCTTCTAGTCTCTGTTTATGTTCGGTGGTAGAACCAACCGTCCCAGTATTGATTCAAAGTTGAGCTTACCGTGAACTTGCCATAGTCCCCGAAAATATTCCCTTCATCATCGAAAATAGTGATAAACGGAAGATTATGCCTCTTCCCGACCTCATAATCATTCGGATCGTGCGCCGGAGTTATCTTCACCGCTCCAGTACCGAAACCGAGTTCCACAAAGTCGTCCACTATAATCGGTATCCTTCTGTTGCAAAACGGGTGTACCACGAATTTACCATGCAAGTGATCGTAGCGATCGTCATCAGGGTGTACTGCCACGGCGGTATCTCCGAGCATAGTTTCGACCCGAGTGGTCGCCACTATCAGCCTCTCGTCAGAGTCCTCTACACGGTACGCGAAATGTACCATAACGCCGAATTCGATTTTCTCTTCGTACCCGGGTACGGAGAGGAAAGTTCTTCCAGGAAGCTCCATTTTGTCAACCTTGAAGAAGACAACGATATTATTCAATGATAATAATAATAATCCAGCAATCATTGAACTACCGGGAGAAGTCCGGCCTAGTGCAGGCAAGTCTGGAAAAGTGACGATGCCGGGGTATTGGTAAGGGGCCGATGATTTCCCTATCCTAAGTATAACCAACAGTTAAAAATACGATGATGTTCTTGTGATGGTAAGATGTCTGGAACCAGTTAAATACTAACGAGTTGTGACCCTTTGCTGGCCAATATCCTGTTCACTACTTGTTCCAAGGTGGATGTTCTGGGAACGTCTACGTCAACAATCAGCTGATCATTTGGTTTGTTGTCGAATTATTGTGCTCCTCAGTTTCCCTGGTCGTTATTTATGTTGGCAGGAGTATTCTTAATTGATAATATAGAAGATGGATTCTTCAATTATGATAATATTGAGTAACAATCTACCTATCTAGTGTTTCGAATTACATTATGAAATGCATGTGTTTGGTATCTCATAGCCTCATATACCTAGTGATCATAATAATTGGAGTGGTAAACCTGTCTATTATAGAAGTAAATAACAATAAGGTTCCAACTACAGAAATGACTAAGCCGAAAAAATAATGAGAATTGAAAAGCTCCATATTTGATCACATTATCAGACTATGGAGGAAGAATTCTGGTATCAAGAAAGGCCACTGATAACTGACGAAGAATCAGGAGTACCTACCTCGCAACGAATAACCAATTTTGAAGGAATAATGCTATCCAAATAAGATGTAGATGTAGATACTAACTGGTAAGCAGTCACTCTGAGAAATTTCATCATGGATGAAGAGAGAGGTTAGGAAGATATTGTGTCATTCATAATTTTGTCCTTGGAATCTGGTGTGTTTGATATGATATGAGAGGATTACATTATATAATATAGAGTTACAATAACTTCCAGATCCATTGAACCCCTAAAACCCCTACCCCTACCTCGATAGTATGTAACCAATGTCGATAATAGGTGAGTGGACTAATTTTTTTAATTTCTTGAATAGAATCACTCGAATACCATTCAATTTCATTTTATTTCAGAATTTTTTGGTCGATTTTAAGGTGCCAAAAGGTGCATCAATAACGCCACGGTAATTTTCAAACAGGTACAAATTTACCATGAGTTAAAACTGTCAAGATTTCATAAGTAGGGGCAGACCATAACACAGTTTATTGGTAATATTCCTAATAAGCATTAAAGATCAATTGCATCAAAATGTTCCCCCATGTGTTGTGGCTTATTGCTTATATTACATTTGCGTGAATAATAATTATATTAATTCACACTAGAGGATATTTGAACCGGTGAACGCTCTGGTAAACATAAACGGCACACGACTTGTGGGCGTGGTCTTATCATTTCTCAGCATTCAGCACAATGTTGCCAAGTAAGCGTCACATTACACACCTACGACTTGTGGGCGTGGTCTTATCAGTTCTCAGCATTCAGCACAATGTTGCCAAGTAAGTGTCACATTACACACCTCTACTTCCCGCCCCTCACTATTTCCCGCCCTAACTCATGTAATAATACAGGTATGTTCAGAATGAAACATAGATTTATTAATTTTGATAGTAATATGATGGTTGTAAATAAAATTGTATACAAACCTCGGTAGGAAGTTTCATTCCTGTCTTGAAATGATAGCTAACCTCGACGCTTTGCGTCTGGGTTAACTAACTAATCTCATGACAGTAATGAATCACTTCCCACCTGGGAAAAAAAAATTCCAATACCTACCTCCTGTCCCTATCCTCCCTAGGAACGCACGATGTTCTTTGAACATTATAGGGATTCCCTTTCGTGCGCTCCAAGCGATAAAAAAAAAAAAAATACTATTTATCCGAAAAATCCTCGAATTATCAATTTGGTTCCACTAGTTACTCTGAGGTTAGTAATATCTAGGGTCCCTTGATGGAAATTGACGTTAAAGTCATCCTAACAGGGTACGGACAGATCATAGCTGCATTCTTTTTTAATGATGTAGAGACTTTAGTTTTGTCTACTGGCATCCCTGACATTGCTGTCACGTAACATCCATGGGCGCTACAAATTTCAATAATAGGTATGTACAGGGTGTTTACTTGTTGAAGATCATATGGCGAACGAGTTTTGTAATTATGATCCGATTCTATTAAAAATTGGAAGATATCTGGGGTTTTCCGGGGTTGGAGATGATGATTGTTTCGTCAAACTTGGAAAATTCAAGATGACCAATCCAATATACAGGCTGATTCACGGTGGATGGCACATTAGACGTTTCTGGAAAACGCAACTCAGGATTATTCTGAAAAGTTGGTGCCTTGAATAATTAGTTGTGTTCTATCGACCTGAAATATTCTCAGCGCTGCCACCGTGAATCAGCCCGTATAGCGAAAGAAATTTCTAATTATGATCTGATTCTATTTAAGATTGGTATCTGGGGGTTTTCGGGGTCGAACTTTATGATTTTTTGTCAATGGGGTCGGAGATTATAATTAATTCGTCAAAATTGGGATTTTCATGATGGCGGATCCATTATGGTGGACGAGTTTTGTAATGGAGATTCGATTCTATTCAAAATTGGTATCTGGGGGTTTCCGGGGTAAGAGATAATGATCGTTTCGTCAAAATTGGAAAATTCAAGATGGCGGATTCGATATGGCGAAAGACATTAGTTTATATGATTATTACTCTACCACAAATAGAAAATATGTAAGATGTGCAAGAGTGAAAATAACGTGACTATAAGTTATACTGCGTATACCTATACATCTTTGTTACTTTTATCAATCAATTGTTCGAAAATGACTTTCAATTTGAGGGGGACGGAAAAATCATATGTATAACATGGGGGTAAAGTATATTCTATTCTTTATTTTCCTGCATATTTTACGTATTACTTTTTATCAGCCTACTTTTTGTCCTAGACAAAGTTTTATACATGATATACGTGATATTAGTCACTCCATAAATTCCTCACCGAGCTGGATTTCCAAAAATATATTGAGCACACATGAATAAGTACAGTAGTTTCGGTTTCCATCATTTCTCAATCATAAGGTTCAGCTCATTAAGCTGATAGATAAACTTCTGCTCAGCTTGAAATCAGAATTCATTCAGCCAATTCAGTCAACCCTAGTATACAGTTAAGAACAGTCTCTCTTAGTGAAATATATTAAGCTTTCAGTACAATTTATATGTTCCCTACCTCGCAAAGATTATGCTGGAGTAGTAAACTCTAAAACTGGAGGATTGTACATCTATACCTTAGTATAGTTGAATCAGGAATTCCATATGGAAATTACGTATGATACGCCAGTGACCTCAATATAACCTTAAAAACAACGAATGTCAAAAATCTAGTGTTTTTCCCTAGAATTGAATAAGGATGGAACTATATAACTGTTTCACAAACACTTTAGAGTGAGAGGAGACGAGGATCTGTCCGTACCCTGTTAAGATGACTTTAACGTCAATTTCCATCAAGGGACCCTAGTAATATCTACTGAAATAAATTAGTAAACTGCTAATGTTTTAAGCAAAGATCACCCAACTCTGTGCTATGAAACCAAAGCTCATTTATTTACTTAGTTCCATGGAGGGTGCACATTCAAGACTCACTCTTACTTATGTTGCAGTAGTAATTTCAGGCATTCTTTTATCAAAAAACTAATGTCATCAACATGATGAGAAACATGCAAGTTTCAATTTTCACATCACATACAAGGCATGTTTCATTAGATAATATCTAAATAATAATAATAATAGTATTTTATCAAACAAAAATGTTCAGATGGCTATCAACAAAAGTGTTCAAATGGCTATCAACCAAAGTCCTATTATCCTATACAAAAATTATTAGAATATCATAATTATATTCAGATACTTTTTAGAACATTCAATCAGTAGTTTTTTGTAGCTATCATACACAGGTTTTTCTTTGGATAAAAATTAAATATTGCTGGAGTTTTGAAGAATTAGTATTACAAAAAAATAATTTGTTTTGAGAATTTTCGGTATTGTTATCAAAAAATTGAAATGTAATCATTAGAACAGCACCCTCAGAGGATATAGCTTGAACTATATCTTGTTTATCAAAATTCAGTTTGAGTATGCACTAATTTCCCAATATTTGAACTTGAAACATTGGTAATTACAAACATAAACAACATTCAGAAAAGATGAGCATCTGAATCAATATATATTAAACATTTATTAAATGTTTTTTGTGAAAAAAAAAAGGATAATTCATCATAACAATTGAGATACCTTAAAATGATTCAGAAGTTTCCCAACTTGCTGATAATGAGTTTCTTGATGAAAAAATACCTGATAATAAAATAAGTGATTTTTTGTACTTTTAATCCATCATAGTAAGCCATGATATTGCAATGCCATAATTGAGATCTCAAAGTGTTCAATTTATGTTATCTGTATGGGAATTAAATTGTGGAGGAAATCCATGAAATGAATAAACAGTTGAATGACAAAACAACACATTTGTATTCAGATACCTAATTGCTAACTGACTGAATATGGATAACTATGAATTAACTTGAAAAGCTTTGATACAGATAATCCAAAACTCTCAACACCCTGAAAAGAAAGTTAGGGACTTGTTCCTGTTCATCTTTTTCAATATTATAGCTGTACCCATGCTTCACCAACATGAAATAACAGATTTAAAAGACAATAAAGATTGAAATATTACCATTTTACAGTTTTATACTATGTGTTTTGAAAATAGTGTAAAATATTGAAGGGAGCAATAGCAGCTGTTAAAATGGAATAAAATTCTTATCATGGATCAACAGATGCATATTAAAAGCTAGAAACTACTTAGATCAAGTGATGAAACTTTTTTAAAATCATCTTCAGTATTATGAAATGTGACACTGGTTATGAAAATTGTGTATGAATATTGATTCCTGGGAATGAAAAAAATGTAAATATCATTTTGCAAAAGAGAATCTTTCTAAAGAAATGAATGTATCTGGATTCTGGATATACTGGTCAGTAACAAAATTGATCCATATGTGATTATTTTATCATCAAGACAGTTGCTTTAAGGAATCATAAACTGAATGTTGTTAAGTATATTTCATTATCACCATCAACTCTTGAGACAATGTAGGAATCATACCTCTATATCAGATATAGCTGACTTGAGGGTACAAGACCAATTAACAAGACGGTTGGACCTATAAATGGTTCCATCTTCATGCAATCTCACGAAAGCTTCTGTGACAGCCCTACAAAGTTTAGGGTCCATTGTGAATGCTGCTCTGTCCCAGTCATATGATGACCCCATTTTCTTAAGTTGGTGGTAGATCCTAACACCCTTCCTGCAAATAGCAATTACTCATTAGTTTTACATCTGACTTTTTCATTTAAATTAACAAGAAACTGGTCTTGTAACTCTTACCATTGTAGAGATAGCATGATGGTTATTCTTGAAATATAATTTTACTTACTCTTCCTTCCATTTCCATACTTTCTGAATAAAGTTCTCTCTACCAATATCATGTCTAGTTTTCTTCTCTTCCCTCCATAACTTTTTCTCAACTACTACCTGTGTGGCTATGCCAGCATGATCACATCCAGGATTCCATAGAGTGGTCTCTCCCTTCATTCTGTGCCTATAAGATGGAAATATAATAATGGGTGACCCTCTTCATTGAAATAACTTAATTTATAATTTCATAATGAGTAACTAATCATCATAGTTGAATATGAAAATACCACTGATGCCTATAAAACAGTATAAAGATTTGAATTGTACTGATTCAGACTGTGAGAATTATCTAAAGTATTGAATGAGCAATAACATACCATCTTACAATAGCATCTTGTATAGCATTGGTGAGAGCATGACCCAAATGAAGTGAACCTGTTACATTGGGTGGTGGTATGACAATTGTGAATTTTCCTTTATCATTGGGCTTCAATATGGATTCATGCTTTGGAATATTAGATCATTATTTTTGTATTAAAATTCATTAGTGTACATACTCCATATTCAGGCTTGAAGAATTTTTGTTTTTCCCACCAACTGTACCATGCAGCTTCAACATACTGGGGACTGTAGGCATCTGGTAAAGGATTTGATATATCTTTTTTTTCACCCTCTGATGTTGCAATATCATAAACAGCAATTTCTTTAGTTTCTTTTTTCTTTTCCTTTTTCTTCAAGAAAAAATAAATAAACCTTTGAATGATTAATGAACCAACATATGGTAATCGCTCATACCTCTTCTTTTTTGGGGGCCGCATTTTGTTGTTTATCCAACTTTTGCTTCAACTTGTCCAACTTGGCTTGTTTAGCTGCTTCTTTAGCGAGCTGTTTGGCGGATTTGGGAGGAGCAGGTTCCCCATTTTCATTCAAACATTTGGTTTCATCAGCCATTATTTCCGAGAGGAGAACTGGAAAAAGTAATGGGATTTTGAAGAAATCAGTTCACGTACCTGTACCTAACCACACTTCCGATGACACTGACATTAGTGACATTACGTCATTACGGGACATGAGTTGAAAAATGACATCACATTTGATGTTTGATAAGTCAGATGTCACTTGATCATCTGTCAATTCTATTCAGGACCGTAACAGAAATTGATACGGTATAAAATAGACAGGTGCCCAAGTGGTCTCATGACTATTCATGTTAAGTATTTTCCAAGCGTGAGTTTTTGATTGATAGCTCAAAAATGATTCAGCCGATCTGGTTAATTTTTCACGGTTTATTTAAACAATTGTTAGACATTTTCTGAACCAATTAGATTCGATCTAGAATTTGCAGTCGTTATACCCTAGCTCGAAGTTGTGTAGAGTGCAAAATAGACGTTATGAAGAACTACTGAAACAATTTCAACAAGTATAAAAAATAAGGTGTCCCTGTGAAATACTTTCAAATTGAGAATTTCCGATATTAATTTATACCTACTGAGAATATGAGATAACGTGAGAGATTTCGTCCTGTAGCTACTCAAACAAACCGTCGCGGTATGTCCAATAAGATTCTTCGGAGATCAGAACTTTTTGAATGTTTCGATGAGAAATGTATTTGCTCGTACTGCTCGTAGATGAACATTATTATACCCACTAGCTTTTTATATTCAAATCTTCTCTTTATTGTGAACTTTTCTGCTGAATTTATAGTCTTGTTATATTTTTATTCTTATGCATTGTTTATCTCTTGACTTAACTTCTCTGCCCATATTATAGTATGTGATGTTATTATCATAATAAAAGTCTGAAAGTACATCGCTGCTATTTCGTTGCGTTTTATCTTTATTGTTACCTCATTATGGGAATGCCGTCTGTACATATCACATAGACGCCGCCAGCTGTGTCAAGTCTGTGGTTTGACCAGGCACATACGTTCAGTATGAAGTCGGATCATGTCTGACCAACCAGCTGTTTGTGAATATCGGTTACGTTTGAAACCTGCCCACAAAGTTACCACAATTAACTTCTGATGGAAGTCAGCCATTGCCCATTCTGGTATTACCACGATGGTCTGGATCAGTCTAGATGCGACATCGTGGATGCGACATCGCAAGAACATCTTCGAGATACCCATGGTATACACAGCGATCGAGTCGATTGTTAAAGATTCAAAGAAACTCACTGAATCTTTGGATTTTTTATACAGAGTGTGTATAGATAGGCGTGACCTATTTGTTTATGAGAACGGAATAAACATCGAATGGAGCTGTCAGTCCTTACTATGAAAATATCAGCGAAAATACCGTATTTTACGTTCCCGTCCATTCTGGAGATTATTTTTTCAATGAAGTATGAAAATTTAGAAGTGCGTATTATTAATTACCTATATCTGCATTTTAGAGAAACGTTTATCTCACAAGTCGCATTTTTTTACGTTGAAACGTTACGCTGTGTAGCAGTTATCTGGTAAACGTTTCCATTCTCTATTCGTTGAAAATGATTTGAAGAATAATAGACACAGATATCAGTTTTGATTTGATAATACGCGCACCGCAACAAGTAGGTTTATATTTCCTCCTCAGTTCGGTTCTGCAATCTGCATGCGCGTCGGCTTGATTTGAACTATTTGAACTGTCAAACAGGTCAAACTTCATTCTTCATTCGTTTTCGTTCATTCATCGGTTCTGGAAAATGACAACCGTGAATTTCTTGATGTCGATGTCCTACTACAGTTATTATTTGCTTTCAATTAATGGTGTTAAATAAAATGATAAAATAAACTCGACGCGTTTCGTTGTGTGATCGGTTTGAGGTGTTAGTTTTTGAAGGAAAAGGAACATTAAAATGGCAGGCCGCAATCGTCCTGTCCAACACAAGAATCTTTCCACAATACTATCCAAGCTACAGGGTGCATTTTCCGATGTGGTCACTCATCCTAAATACGCCACAGACAAGAGGACTCTGGATAAAACCTGGAAGCTCATGGATAAAGTAGTGAAACTGTGTCAACACCAAAAAATGAACTTGAAAAATTCGCCCCCCTTTATCCTAGACATTTTACCAGATACCTACCAGAGATTGAGACTCATATACTCCAAATATGAAGATAACTTACAAGCTCTGCACTCTATAGAACACTTTAATATATTCATCATAACTCTGATGCGAAAATGTAAGCAAGCTATCAAACTTTTCAAAGAAGGCAAGGAGAAGATGTTTGATGAGAATTCACACTATAGAAGGAACTTGACAAAGTTGAGTTTAGTGTTTAGCCATATGTTGAGTGAACTGAAAGCCCTGTTTCCCAATGGTATTTTTGCTGGGGATTTATTTAGGATCACAAAATCAGATGCTGCAGACTTTTGGAGGACCAGCTTTGGAAATAGGTATGTCCTTCCTCAAATATTTACTTTAGATGAAGAGTAGTTAACTAAACTGTTCTCCTTGCTTTTCTCATTCCATAATGTTTCAATAAAAAATAAGTTTTAGGTATATTACTAGCTACCTGAGGTACTGTACCTCAATGTGTAGGTAGGTATATGTTTCTGACTCGGTTTCTGATTAGATCCAGGAAAAAATGGTCCTCCAGATTTTCCCAGAATTTTTTTTATCATAACTTGATAAAACATCTAAATTCCAAGAATTAGTTATTTTACCTAGTTATTTTACCTATCAACAAGTTTACCTACCTCTACCTACTCCACTGGAGTTTTCACTACTATTCATTTAGATCATACCTATCTTTTTCTGAACTTTTTATCACTTTTGAACAAGATTTTACATTTTTTGTACATTTAGGTATATTTATATCTACTAATTCAGATTGCTTGTTGGTATTTACCAAGGTATTTACCTGGTATTCACTAAGGTATTTACCTGGTATTCACTATACTTACTCACTAAATTATTGAATTCAGAAGCATTATTTCAATTTTTATGAGGTTATTCATCTCCAAGTTCATGTCATTATTCATCCAAACACCAAAATTGCCAATCTTATTGTGAGAGATTGTGTTCATCTACAGTCCAATTCATCTCACAATTATTCATAGCAAAATAAGATGCTGTTAGTCACCCATTTGGTGACTGGTCAGTGTTGAATTCCAGACAATATGTGTGTTAATGACATTAATTATTAATCTGACCTTACTGTCTGATGATATTGACTCACTATTATTCAATATTCAATACTGTTTACTGATTCACTTGAGCAGAATCAATATTGTTATTCAGTCACAAGGATGTCTGGGACATATGGGTAAAAAATACCTGCTTACATATAAGCTCCCAGATTTTGAAAATGTTTTAATAGTTTGTAGGTTTTTGAAGGAACTTACATTTGTTTATTTATCACCAATGAGTAGGGAAAACAAGGGATCCTACATAGGCATGTCCTCTAGTATATCCTTGAACAAATTCAGGGCTAAATTCATGATGACATGAAATTTTTTTGAATACTGCAACATTATGAGCTTACCTGGCATAATACCTGCACAATTGAGTGCATAATACCTCCTACAATACTGAAATAAATACCAAGTTAGTAATAGTGAGTCCGGTGTTTTATAACTTGTTTAATCCTGTGTTTAATACTAAGGACTGACAATATACTGAGATAATAGTGATCGCGAATATCTCTGATAAACCGAGGATAATACCCAGCCAATACCTCGACCATCCACCAATAACTATATTATCTGAATATTTTGATGCACCAGTGTACTCATTTTAGGTAGAAAATGGTGGATTAAACCTCCATTAAACTAATGTAAAAACGTCACAGGCAAATTTATGAACACAACACTCTTAAAAATAAACTCGTAAAATAAATTAATTATTGGTCAATTTATTGTAAGAATATTTTATTTGAATACAGGGTATGTCACAACAAGCTTACACTATCTTTATATTGAGAATCAGTCGGGAGAAATCCATGAAAATCTGCATGTTTATATTTTAGAATACGCTCTCTTCATTTAAAATATTTTCGACAATGCAGTGTTGCCGCTTCTACTACAAAGTAGTAGCAACATTGATATTTCAAATGGAACACCCTGTATTTTATCGCATTTTTAGATTCTCCCTGAAGAGCTGATTTCATCGATGTATCACACTTGGGGTCTATTGGAAAATATTACAGAGATATATAGATAGATAGATAGATATAGGGTGTTGAAAATCGAGATTTTTCAACTTTAGGATTTTTTTGTGTCGAAACTATTCATTATCGGTGTAAACGGCTCACATGTCCTAATCTCAACTTCTGATTCACTATTTACTGATATTTAATCGGAACAGATACAGGGTGGTTCAAGATTCAGAATTCTGATCACCCTGTATCTGTTCCGATTAATTATCAGTAAATAGTAAATCAAAAGTTGAGATAGGGACAAGTGAGCCGTTCTGGCCGATAATAAATAGTTTCGACACAAACAAATCCTAAAGTTGAAAAATCTCGATTTTCAACACCCTATATCTCTGTAATCATTTCCGATAGACCCCAAGTGTGATACATCGATGAAATCAGCTCTTCAGGGAGAATCTGAAAATGCAATAAAATACAGAGTATTCTATATGAAATAACAAAGTTGTTGCTACTTTTTGATAGAAGCGGCAACACTGCATTTCTGAAAATATTTTGAATGAAAAGAGCGTATTCTAAAATATAAGCATGCATATTTTCATGGATTTCTCCCGACTGATTTTCGATATAGAGATAGTGTAAGCTCGTCGTGACATACCCTGTATATAAGGGGTTAATAAACTGAAGAAATAATGTTTCCCTTTTCCCCATAGAGTTTCTGATGCTTAGAGTGTGCTCTTGGATATATAATTTTAAAATATAAATCTTTGCTATCGAGTTTGAGATAATTACCCATGAAACTGAAATGAAATGATTTTAATTTGAGAGGAAATTACCATTGAGTAGACGTCATTATTTAAAATGTGTACTCACATTATACGTGGTGTTGGTATTGTTTGTAAATCAAGCTAGATACTTCAATTAAATTGTGATTGGTGCTAAAACTTGTTCTAAATTAAAATCGGGGCATGTCAGTATTGAGCTCGGTATTGTTACGGACTCGGATTAATTACTTATAGGATAGAACGAGGGATAGAATAATCCGAGGATTAAACAGAAATTGAAGTTTGTTTTTATTGAAATGCTGCGTAATACCTCTGTTCTAATCATGGACACATCATCGATAGACACCTACTTATCCAGAAAATCCTCGAGAAAATCCGAGAGCAAATCTGATGAAGTACCTGTTATATGTATAGGAACTTCATTGAATTATTAGTGAATACATCTACTTGTCTAATATATTTATGAAATGCCCGAATAAAATATGAGCATCGTGGTCTTCCGACAAAATCGGGGGGCGGAGAATTTTTTTTTAAATGCACGGAACTTTGTTTCACCCTGTATCATGGGTGCTGATCAATTTAGAAGAAGCTGTAAGGAACGGTTCGAAAGACGATGAAAAAGGCATTCAGAATCTGGGCGGCAATTCAAAATTCGTTCAATATTTTCGAAATTACGAGAAGTCAAACTTGATGCCAAATTTCACTATTAACGTTTCAATTGACGCCCAGTTTAGTTGTAGCCTCGGTTGTAGCATTGTAGCTAGATACAATAAAATAACTAAATTTATTACTGCGAAGTTCCCTAAACTTCTCCAATTATATTTATGTTTTTCCCCGAAGCTGTTTCCTGTTTTCCGAAAAATAGCTCCCTAGATAGTTATTATTGAGCAAGTTTCTGTACATAATTTCCCTTCCAGGAAATCCTCCAACGCTCCACCTGTTTCCCTACGCCTTGCACTACGCCTAATTTTCTTTCCGTTTATTAGATTTCTCCCCCTTGCAGTTTTTCTGGTCTTCTGGCCACCTACTTGATTCAATATTGATACCCCCAATATATACCTCCCGCAATTCTATTCCCGTTTTTCCCTCTTCTCTGATATCTGTAGGATCCGAGGTGGGATCTATAATAGAACGAAAATAACTTTTGGCAAAAAGTAGTAGTCAAGTGGGTCGGATCAACTCAGCCTGTGCTTGGGATTATAATCTTCATTCATTCACACATCATCACATATCCACCTCGATTTCCAATCATAGGTACCTATTGATGAATTTACAGGGGGATTCACTCAACACTCAACTGATTCATCAGAGGTTTATTCAAATGGCTGCATTTTTCTCGCATTATACCATGGGGAAGTTTTCTATATTCTGACTTTTATTTCCACGCGAAGTTTGTGAAAATGTATTTTTCATTATTTTTTCTACAGACGTCAAAAAATGACAAGGTTCGCGCATTGATAACAAATTGCGAAGTGACACTTTTTTTCAGTTTCCTACGTTACCATGATACCTTGCACATAACAATGCGCGAAGTAAAACAGTGCGCGAAGTACCTACTTCGCGCATTGTTAAGTAAAATATATGAGATATTTTTATTTCAACTTAATGATCCTCAATCGAGCAAACATCCACGAAATCATTCATTTCTGAATGTTCAACCATAACTTTGTTTTATCTCTTGGAGCGCACGAAAGGAAATTCCTAATATGTTCGTGGAACATCGTGCGTTCCTAGGGAGGATAGGGGGAGACTTTTTAAGCCAGTTCAACACTATTTTTTATATCATGCTAAGCATATTTTTAATTTAGAACTATATTTTTTGACGTTTGTAGAAAAAATGTTGTTTGCAACTCGAGCGCGAAATACTTTGGTCATCTCGACTATTTTTTTAACTCGGCTACGCCTCGTTAAAAAAATCGTTAAAATTTCAAGAGGGCGTTTGACTCTGTTAGCCATTCCCTTCTGTGGAAAAAATTATATAATCTAGGACTCAGCGCAAAATACATTCGTATTATCAAAAGCTTATATGAACAGGCTACTATGTCTGTTAGGGTCAACAATGAGTATTCCAAAACTTACGATATTTCTCAAGGTGTTCTACAGGGTGAATCATTGAGCCCAATTTTATTTTCCTTGTTTATTGCCGATATCGTGGACTATTTTCATGGCAAAGGCCTGAAAGGATTGAATATTGACGGTAAAAATGAGGTATTGATGTTGATGTATGCTGACGATATTGTTATTTTGAGTGACTCACAAATTGATCTGACCAAAAAACTTGAAGCTCTAGAATCATACTCGTTGGAAAATAAACTGGACGTGAACACTACTAAAACAAAAATTATGATATTTAGCAGAGGTGGATACCACACCAACTATCAGAGTAGATTTTATTTCAATAATGAACAAATCGAAGTGGTCAAACAGTTCACTTATTTGGGCACTGTATTCTCCTCTTCGTCAATGTTCTTAGATATGTCGAGGGAAATTATGGCAAAAAGTACTCGAGCAATAGGTG